GTTGGTGCTGCAGAGAGAGTGGGGTAGGCATTGGTGCTGCTTCCTCCATCTTGAGCCTCGTCAGAACTTTGTTGATGTAAAACTTCTGCGAGAGGGTGATGGTGCGGGCTGTGCGATCACGTGTGATTTCCATTCCCAGATAGTTCGTCAGCTTCCCGAGGTCCTTCATGGCCAGCTTCTCACCAAGTGCGGTTTTGACTGCTGCCAGCTCAGTTTGATCCTTGGTGACAAGGATCATGTCATCGACATAAACCAGGATGTAGAAGCGGGATGGTGTTGCTCGGATGAAGAGGCTGGGATCAGAAGTGGATGGGTGAAAGTCGAGGGACCCTAAGGTGCTCTTTAGCTTGTTGTGCCATTCCTGGGGAGCTTGCTTGAGGCCATACACTGGCCGATTCAGCTTCCATACAGTGCCTGGTGGAAAAGGAGCTAGAAATCCTTCGGGCCACTCCATGTAGATTTCCTCTCGAAGGATCCCTTGCAGGAACGCAGAAGACACATCCATGCAGTCAACCTCCATGTCATCTCGAGCAGCGACGTCGAGAAGGGTGCGCAGGGTGGGAGGTTTGGCGGTGGGAGAGAATGTCTCAAAGAAATCCAGTCCATGCTTTTGGGTAAATCCCTTGGCACATTACCGGGCTTTGAAGACAGGAAATTCGCCTGGAAGTTGTTTCACCCGAAAAACCCATTTTCCCTTCACAATGTTGACGTCGGAGGGAGGAGAGACATCTGTGAAGGTTCCTGTGTGAATGAAGGCCTCACATTCTGCGACAATGGCCCTCAACCACTGAGCGGCGTGAGGACCAGAGACTGCTTCAGCATAGATGAGAGGTGTGGGGATGGAGGGGTTGTCGGAGAAATTGAGGGTGGGAGAGTCTGCGATGTTGGGAAAGAGGAAGCAGAGCGCGTGGATGGCTGAGTCGATATCAATCAACTCCTCATGTCTGTCTTCAAGGAGGGAGGGCATGAGAGAATAATCACCCCCGACAGGAGGAGGATTGAGAGAGACGCGAACGGAAAGGGAGAGCGGTTGTGGAGGTTTACGAGAGCGGGTGCGAGAAGCGATGGGGGAGGGAGGCGGGGCTGGAGGACGCGTAGCGGTAGGTGAGGTGGGAGCGGGAGGGAGAGAGGAAACAGGAGCGGGATCAGGGGTAGGAGGAGGAGGAGGAGGAGGAGGAGGAGGAGGAGGAGGAGGAGGAGGAGGAGGAGGAGGGGGAGTAGGAGCTGGGCGGCGGCGGTGGTAGGTCTTGAGAGGAACGGGCTCGGTGGGAGGAGGGGGAGCAAGAGCGGGAGGAGGTGCGAGAGGAGAGGGAGGAGGGGGAGCGGAGGAGGGAAGGAGCGAGGGAGACTATGTGGTACTGGAGGGGGAACAGGGTGAAGGGGGATCAGAAATGGTGGAGGGAGTGGGAAGAGGAGGAGATGGGGTGTCGGGAAGAGGGAGACTGTCAAAGTCAGCCCAAGTAAGAGAGGGAGGCGGAAGAGAGGGGGAAGCCTTGGAGGAGGGGTAGAACGGGTGGGATTCATCGAAGTAAACGTCCCGGCTGCGATAGAGCTTTTTGGTGGAAGGATGGAGAAAGAGGTAGTCTGGTGAATCTAAGTTGTGCCCGAGGTACACGCACGTGATGGTTTTGGGAGCAAGTTTGCCGCCAGCCGCACGACGGGCTTGGGAGTTGAGGAGGACATAGGAAGTGCACCCCCATACACGAAGAGGGCGGACGGATGGCTTTTGACCCGTCCACAGCTCAGCGGGGGTGGTGTGGGTGTGATGAGGATGGGGATGGAGTTTGTGGAGGGCGGCAGCATGAAGCATGGCGTACCCCCAGAGAGAGGGAGTGGCGGAGGCGTGCGTGAGGAGGCAGCGAGCAATCTGCACCAATGTACGGTTCCGGCTCTCGGCAACACCGTTCTGTTGGGGACTGTCCGGGAGAGTGAAGGTCTGACGGATACCCTCAGTAGAGCAGAAAGTTTTGAGAGTGTTGTTGCGGAATTCACCGCCACCGTCAGAGTGAAGGACCTTGATGGTGGTGTTGAAGTGTTTATGAGTCTGCTTGGCCCATTCAATGATGACGCCTGGGGCTTCGGATTTGGAGGAGAGAAGGTGGAGAGACACATAGCGGGAATAGTCATCAATGATGACAAGGAAGTAGAAGTGTCCGCCGCGAGAACGAACAGGAGCTGGGCCCCAAAGATCCATGTGCACGCGATCGAGAGGTGCAGCTGAGATGGACTCAGTGGGGGGATGAGGCTGTTCACGAAGCTTGCTCTGTGCACAGTCAAGGCAAGGCGGTCCGAGGGTGGAGGTAGGAGAGGGAAGTGAGGTTGGAAGCCCATGGAGGAGTTGTTTGGTGGCAAGGTCCGAAAGCGCGCGGAAGTTGATGTGGCCAAGGCGGTGATGAAAAAGCATGGTTTTGTCGGAAAGGAGACGGCAGTGACAGGTGGAGGAGTCTGTGGAAAGGAGCGGAAGGTTTGTGAGTGAGCACGTTTGAATGGGAGGGACTACGAGCGTGTATAGGTTGTTGGCGTTGAGGGTAAAGCGGGCTAGATGAATGCCGGTTTTGGCATCAAAGAGGTCACAGTAGTCGACATCATTGGGAAAGATGGTGATCACTCCTGCCTGCTGGATTTCACTCTGTGCCAGGAGGTTGTGGCGGAGGGTTGGGGCACAAATGCCAGTAACTGTGCCCGATGGAAAGGTTGGACAAGGAACTGTGAAGGACCCATGGCATTGGATGGAAAAACTAGAGTCGGCTCCGAGGAGTGGGATGGGAGCCTGGTAAGGAGCGAATGCGGTTTGGTCTTTGAGCACTGTGTGTGTGGCACCACTGTCTAGTATGAACTCAATCCCTTGTGTGTTTGAAACACGGATGTACTGCGACCCCTTCTCATTAATAATAACAGCATCAGAGAACAATAGGTTGAGGCGAACATTAGATGGGGTGCTATCAACTGAGGGACTAGGTTCCTCCACTGCCTCGACCTGGTTCACGCGACGGGGTGGGGCCCAGTTGGGAGGGCGCTTGTTGGAGGAGACACCATGGACGTCGTACCACTCATCATCTCGCTTCTTGAAGCAAGTGGCCTCAGGGTGGTTGGTGCCTCCGCATTTCTGCCTCGCACGTGGTCCCTTCCTAATGATGTAGGGGTATGGGGGAAAGGAGTTGCGCCTTGGTCCCTGCTGGGAGCGGAATGGGATTCCAGGGGTGTAGCACACAACATTGACGGATGTTTGGGCTGCAAGGTCCTTTTCGGCGGAAAAGAGAGGCGATGCGACTTTTTCGAAGGTGAGTTCCTTGGTGGGAAGTTGCTTGAGCATGGAGCTGGTAACATTGTAGGCCGGGGTTAGTCCTACAAGTAGTCCAGCTGCAGGTGCCTGTTCGGGGAAAATGATCCCAATGTCCTTGAGTTCCTCATGGATGTTGCGGATTTCAGAGATGTAATCTGCCATGCGAGGGCATTCCTCAAGGCGGACCTGAAACATTCGAGGAATGAGGATGGCAACACCCACTGCTGTCTTGTCATGAAAACGGTCCTGGAGGTACTTCCAAATGGCATGAGCGGAGCGGAAAGTGCGGTAGGATTTGTCAAGCTCGACCGGAGTAGTGGTGATGAAAACCCTAATGTCTGTTGCGTCTGCCTGCTCCCACACACTGAAATCAGTCTCGTACTTGGTGGTCTTGTCCTCAAAAGCGGCGTTCTCTGCGGCAGTGGCGCCTTCGCCAAGGGGATCGGGAGGGAGAGGCATTTTTCCCTTGCCACGGTTGAGGAGGATGTCCTTGAGGCAAATCCCCTTCAGCTCCGTGCTAAGGAGGTGCTTCTCCACCCCATAGCACCATTCCCCAAAGTTGGTGCTCGTGCCGCTGGGAGCGAGATTGAGAACGATGAGGTTTCCGACGAGGGTGGGAGTTGAAGTAGCCATTTTGCGCGGAGCGCAGCGCTAAAGTCTCCGATACGTAGCGGCGATTTTGAAAATTGATGAAGTCCGAAACGCGAAAATGTGCGATTTCGGTAAAAAGATTGCGATTCCTGTCCTGCTGCTCTGCTTCGCCGATGACCCCTTTTCTGCTGCGCCGATGACCTGTTCTGCTGCGCCGATGACCTGTTCTGCTGCGCCGCTGACCTGTTCTGCTGCGCCGCTGACCTGTTCTGCTGCGCCGCTGACCTGTTCTGCTGCGCCGCTGACCTGTTCTGCTGCGCCGCTGACCTGTTCTGCTGCGCCGCTGACCTGTTCTGCTGCGCCGCTGACCTGTTCTGCTGCGCCGCTGACCTGTTCTGCTGCGCCGCTGACCTGTTCTGCTGCGCCGCTGACCTGTTCTGCTGCGCCGCTGAACCTGCTCTGCTGCGCCGCTGAACCTGCTCTGCTGCGCCGCTGAACCTGTTCGAAGTTAAGAAGGTGAGAAATTTGCCACGGAAATGTGAAATTCCAGATCCTACGATGAAGGAAATTGTCGGAGAATGTGCCGCCGTTGAAATCGGAAATGCCCGGAGACGGAGCGGAAAAGCGCTTTTGACCAGCGCGAAGATGTGAAGGCGAAAAACGCTATGCGGAGAAGGCGGGAACCGAAAACGCCATAGCCGAGAGGAAGAGAAACGATCGCGACGCCAAGGATCGGATTCCGCGTGAGCGGAATTTACTAGCTCGATACCATGATAGAAACGAAGCTCAACTGATTGATTAGTAAAGAAGGCACTAGGCCTTAAGTACAACGAGGTTGGGTTGGGAAAGGCTAGGGAAAGGATGGGATGGGAATCCTAGCGAATCTCCAATTGGTGAGTTGGCAGATATGCAGGATTACGAGGGAATCCCAACCAGATAGGGTTGGGATTACAAACTACACCCAACCCGCAAATAACCTATGCGATATAAAATATAGTACAAAATGTTGACAGCCTAATTCTAACAATGACTCCTCTGAAACGCAAACTCGACGAGTTTGGCGCCTTCTTCTGAGGCGCCTAAAAAACATTCCCCTCGTCCTTTTGCCTCTGTGGTCCATCAGGAAATGACTCCTCTAAAACGCAAGCTGGACGAGTTTGGCACCTTCCTCTCCAAGGTACGTGTTGCACCTTTACTTTCTTATTTGCTTATCTGAGCCAAACTATATGTTCAAGTCAAATCAAGAGATGACATTGAGCTAACCTTATATCTTTCTGCCTCGCCTCTCATCCTCCTCGCTGTTCTCTTAACCCTGTGTGCCCTCTATGCAGGCCATAGCTGTAGCGTGCATTCTCGTGTGGGTGATCAACATCAGAAACTTCCAGGATCCTGCGCACGGCGGTGTTATTCGAGGCGCTATCTACTATTTCAAGGTTACCACCTACAAGCCTCATACTCTTGCCCAACTTAGATCTGACCTGTACCAGCCAATGTTTCTGACCTTTTCATAATCTCTGCCTGTGTTTTTGTGAGTATATGGCTGGTTGCGTGCCATCCGTGCGGCTATGCCAGACGTATTTGACACTTGCAAAAAAACAGTAACCTTGCCATAAGTATCAAAGAACGTGTTATTGCTTCCTCTCCTCTCCCCCCCCCCCCCTCTCCCTGCAACAGATTGCAGTTGCTCTAGCCGTGGCCGCCATACCTGAAGGCCTTCCAGCAGTCGTGACCACGTGAGTGCCCTTTTTCCCATCTCGGTGCTTCCCCTTTCCTTGCATAGTTGCGGGGTAGAATTTCTGGCTCCCCACTAGCTACCAGCCTCTAATGCATCCACCACATGCCATTTTCTCCCCCTCCCTATCCCTCCCTCTCTGTTCCTCCCTCTCTCACTCTCCTATCACCCCCTTTTTTCGAGACATCCCCCCTTGCAGCTGTATGGCGCTGGGAATAAAGAAGATGGCGCGGCTGAACGCCATCGTGCGCTCGCTGCATTCCGTAGAGACCCTCGGGTGCACACACATTACACCACACCACAGCCTACTCATTTATCCTGCTCTTGTCACCCTGTGTCCGTCCGTCTCCCACCTCCAGGTGTCTAGCCTTGGGAACAAAGAAGATGGCGCGGCTGAATGCCATCGTGCGCTCGCTGCCCTCCGTGGAGACTCTTGGGTGCACCACTGTCATCTGCAGTGACAAGACGGGCACTCTCACCACCAACATGATGTCTGTTAACAAGGTGCGTGAGTGTGTGTTGGGACTACTGCCATGCATGTATGTGTGCGCATGTACACCTATGTGCATGGTGAGAGTGATAAGACAGGCACACTCACCACCAACATGATGCCCGTTAACAAGGTGCGTGAGTGTGTGTTGGGACTACTGCCATGCATGTATGTGCGCGCATGTACACCTATGTGCATGGTGAGAGTGATAAGACAGGCACACTCACCACCAACATGATGTCCGTTAACAAGGTGCGTGAGTGTGTGGGGCGGGGAAGGGATGTGGTTGTCTGTGTATTCGCTCGCTGCCTTCTGTGGAGATCCTCGGGCACGCTCACCACCAATATGATGTCCGTCAACAAGGTGAGGGCGTTGTGTGTTGCTGCTGGCATGCGTATGCATGTATGTGGCCGTATGTACCCCTGTGTGCATGCTGAGATGCCATCACTGTCATCTGCACTGACAAGATAGGCACGCTCACCACCAATATGATGTCCGCCAACAAGGTGCACGTGTCAATGTGTGCTACTGGCATGCATATATGTACCAGCACCAGTACCAGTAGCAGTGTTAGAATCAGAATCAGCACAAGTGTTAGAATCAAATTCAGCAACAGCAGTCTCGGAACCAGCACCATCAGCACGAACAGAGCCAATGAAATAATGTACAGCCCCACTATTGCCCAACTTTGACGGAAAAGTTACAATGTGCTCTTCATGTGACTTGAATTCTGGTGTTTTCGCTCCCATCAGTCTTCTGCAGCAATAAGACGGGCACCTGCACCTCAACCCCCTATATACATATGCATAACAACAGCAGGTGCTCTGTGTGAGCTGGACGTGTTTTGAGGCGCCTCAAAAGTCGTCTCTTTCACCTCAACCCCCTGTATACGTCCCTGTCAGATCTGTGCATGCATAACAGCAACAGGCGCTCTGTGTGAGCTGGACGTGTTGGGCCCACATAAGCAAGTTGTTGTGAGACTTCAATGCTCTCTTTCCTTCCTATCTCCATCTCCCGTGCGCTCAACTTGGCCCCCCTGGTCAGATCTGTGTGTGAGCTCAGGTGACTTTTGAGTCGACTCAAAACGAGGTGACTTTTGACTTTTGAGTCGACTCAAAAGTCACCTCTTTCCCTTATTATCTCCATCTCCCATGCGCTCAACTTGCCCCCTGGTCAGATCTGTGTGTGCAGCTCGGCAGCAGGCCCGTTGTGTGAGCTGGACGTGTCTGGAACCACTTATTCGCCTGAAGGCTCCATCACTCTTGGTCGCTCGGTGGTGAGTGCAGTGCTGTGCTGTGCTGTGCTGTACTGTACTGTGCTGTGCTGTGCTGTGCTGTGCTGTGCTGTGTTGTGCTGTGCTGTGCTGTGCTGTGTTGCAGCACGTGACAATGTGTGCGTCTATGTGCAACGACTCCACCCTGCAATACCCCCCAATACTCCGCCATGTGCTGAGTTGAGTTCACCTTCCCCTTTCTTCTCCCCCTCATTCTCCCCACCTCTCCCCCCCTGCCCTTCTCACCAGGTGGAGAGGCCAGCCGACATGCCATCAGTGCAGCACGTGGCGATGTGCGCCTCCATGTGCAACGACTCCACCCTCCAGTACAACGCCACCACTGACACTTACGACCGCATTGGGGAGGCCACCGAGGTGGCCCTTCGGGTTCTTACAGAGAAGGTGAGAGGCTGTAGCAGAGAAGGTGAGAGGCTGTAGCAGAGAAGGTGAGAGGCTGTAGCAGAGAAGGTAAGCAGTGAAGCAGGTGGAGAGCATAATGTGGAGGGGTAGAGCATAATGTGGAGGGGTAGAGCATAATGTGGAGGGGCAGAATTACGTCGCTTGTGCATTTTGTGCTTTGTGTGCTTTGTGCCTTCTTGTGTTTATGGAGGATGCTGTTTCTGTCTGCACATATGCACATCCACGTATTGTGTCCGTGAGAGCACACGCGCATGTGTGGTGTGCATGTGTGTGAGTTCATTTATGTCTGCTGTGCGTGCATGTGTGCACGTGTTTGTGTGTATGCATGCATGTCTGTACTCGTGCATCATCGTGCATGCATCTGGTCATCAGCACAGATCGGAGTACCCGGCTATTCCGACATGCCCACATCCCTCGGACTCCTCAGCAAGGCAGAAAGAGCCGCCTTTTGCAACAACCACTGGCACGAAACTTTCCACAAGGTACCTACTCCTGCATTCGTACCAGGCCTTAGTCTCCTCTGTCATCCCCCCCTGTCCTTCATCTCTTCCCTCTGACCTGCTCGCCCAGCCCAGGTATGTCTATCATATCATATGCTGCTGCCCCCTTCCCTCCATCCTGCTGAGAATCAGTGGTAATGTGTGATGACCTGTTTATCTCATACCCTTGGGTTTTGTAGAAAAACAGACCTAATGTGCACAATGTGCACAAGGAGAAGCTGGCTCTGAAATGCTGAAAGGTTCTAGAGCAGTAAGTAAATTGAAGTGCTGGATACAAGCAAAACAATGGCTAAAATAGGCAGAAAGTGAAGAGAGAGAGCCTTCTTTGGAGACGACTTGGGGTGGTCCAGGTGATGGAGGTGGTATCCAAGGGACTTGGGGTGGCCATTGGCCAATTGGGTGCTCAAGTCGCCCACAGTCAACTTGGAGACGTGAGGGACCCTCTAAGTCGGCCTGGAAGCGCCCCCTCTAGTGGAACCGCGATTCCACGAATTGGAAACGCGATTCCAGGCTAGAGCCGCGTTTCCAATGTTGAATCTCGTGGGTCCAGGCTGGAGCCGCGCCCCCAAGGTTGGGAAACGTGCTGAGGTGCCCCAAAGCCGAATTTGGGGTGTCTCGCACTTGATAAAGTCACTCAGGGGGCACCCTATAACTAATATAACTACTATTATGTAAACGGATACATACAATTCATAAATAAACTAGTGAACTATAGGACCATAAGTACCTAACAACAGTTTTCCTTCCCATCCCTCCCCGCCCGCATCCCTTCCCACCGCATCCGGCCTGCAGCTTGCGAGTCTGGAGTTCTCAAGGGACCGCAAGTTGATGAGTGTGCTGTGCATGAGAGGCGAGGAGGAGGTGAGTGAGTGTGTGGGGGCCGAGGAGAGGGACGGGATGGGGTCCTGGAACTTGGAAGTAAAGTGTATTTTGCACGAAGCGAAGGTGATTGCACTTTGCTATGCACTGAGGCAATCCCTCCTTCCTTGTTCCTTCCCTATCGCATCCCGTTGTCACTCACTTTCCCCCACCTCCCCACCCAACACGCCAGTCCTGATGTTGAGTTGCCTCACGACGCTGCTTCTTTCCTGCCCACCTCCTCACCCACCCACCCACCCACCCACCCACCCACCCACCCACCCACCAGGTTTTAGTCTGCAAGGGAGCACTGGAGGATGTATTGTTGCGCAGCAGCAGAGTGCTGAGAAATGGTGGTGGCGTTGTGCCCTGGAGGTACCCCTCCTCCCTTGTTCCTTCCCCATCATTCCCTGCTGTTGCTCACCTCCAACCTCACCTCCTCACCCACCACGCCACAGCAGATTCTTTTCTGTAAAGGAGCACCGGAGGCTGTGCTGTGCTGTCATGCAGCACTGGAGGCTGTGCTGTCTTTTGAGTCGACTCAAAAGTCACCTTTTCTGTAAAGGAGCACTGGAGGCTGTGCTGTCATGCTGCACTGGAGGCTGTGCTGTGCTGTCATGCAGCAGCAGAGTGCTGAGTAACGCCGATGGGGCGTATGTGTTTTGAGAATTCTCAAAAAACACCTCCTCACCCACCCACCACGCCACAGCAGATTCTTTTCTGCAAAGGAGCACCGGAGGCTGTCTTGTCACGCAGCAGCAGAGTGCTGAGTAACGGCGACGGGGATGTTGCTGCCATGACGCCTGAGATGAAGGCAGCGATCGAAGAGCGAGTGTGCAGGTGAGGGTTTATGATGCAAGTGCTTGATTATGATGCAAGCCAAATGAGTGCTTGCTGATTAACGCTGATGGGGCAGTGGCTGCCATGACACCTGAGATGAAGGCAGCGATTGTAGAGCGAGAGTGCAGGTGAGCGCTTGTCTTGAGAGACTGAGAGCGTACCTACACAACAAGCCTCACTATTGGCTGGCAGCAGCAGAGTGCTGAGTAACGCTGATGGGGCAGTGGCTGCCATGACACCTGAGATGAAGGCAGCGATTGAAGAGAGAGTGTCCAGGTGAGCGCGTATGATTCTAGCCTTGTTTTGAGGCTTGCAGCAGCAGAGTGCTGACGAATGATGATGGGGCAGTGGCTGCCATGGCGCCTGAGATGAAGGCAGCGATTGAAGAGAGAGTGTCCAGGTGAGCGCTGGCTCTGGCGTTGTGGCGACACACAACGAGGCCTTTTGGCTTGCAGCAGCAGCAGAGTGCTGAGAGCATTGGGCAGTGGCCGCGATGACACTTGAGCTGGAGGTTGCGATAGTGCAGAGCTACAGGATGGTGTGCATTGTGTGCAATGGTCATGCTGCCCTCTTACACCTCCCTCCGTTCCAACCCCCTCCTCCTCCCCATCACATGTCCCCCACCATACTCCACCAGCTACGGCCGGCACCAGATGCTCCGCTGCTTGGCTCTTGCCATGCGGCCTCTGCCTCAGGGGCAGCAGACCATCACTCCTGACGACGAAACCGACCTCACGTTCCTTGGCCTGGTAACCACCCTGTGGTAACTGTTGTTAGTTCATGCAATGGGGTATCTGCAACGGGGTATCTGCAGTGCAGTGTGGTAACATGTGGGGCCTCGGGGACATCAGACCATCACTTGTGAGGATGAAGCCTTTTGAGAATTCTCAAAAGTCGCACCAGGATGAAGCGATGTTCACCTTCCTCAGCTTGGCAGTGGTAACCCCCCCAGTGGTATTCCTTATGTGGAGGTGCACGTAATAGGGTAACCGTTTCGTGCAGTGTGGTAACAGGATGTGTGTCCTCAGGGGCAGCAGAGCAGGCCATCACTCTTCTAGAATCCCTCACCTTTCTTGGACTGGTAACCACCCAGTGGTATCCCTTGTGGTAACATCACGTGTGGGGGGTGCAGGGGCTGCAGCATACAATTACCCCCCATGGGAAATGAAGCAGACATCTCTCTTCTGTACAGTCAGGATCCTCCACATTTCAATGGTGTCGTTTCTATCTATCGCTCCTGATCTGTCGGGATTGTGATCTAACTATTGTTGCCTCTGCACACTTATGAAGGTTGCCCTACGGCCTATTTTTTCTCACCAAGCTCACTGTCCTTCTCTCCCCATCATATGGGACATGGCATGGCACAAACGGCGTTGCATGGCATGGCGTGGCATGGTGTTGCATGACGTGGCGTGGCATGACATGTGTGTGACAGGTGGGAATGTTGGACCCACCTCGGGAGGAGGTGAGAGCGGCCGTGGAGACATGTCGATCGGCTGGCATTCGCATCATTGTTGTTACAGGCGACAACAAGGTAAGCTGTTCCATTACTCACAAACCAAGTGCCATTGGATAAGATCAGTTTGCCCCTCACTTAACCAGGCATTTTTCAAAGCACCCAAATGTTATTTAACCCCTTCATTCCCTCTCTCACTCCCCCACTCACTCGCTCCCCCTCTCACTCCCTCTTCTCACCTCGAATCCAGGCCACAGCAGAGTCGGTGTGTCGCCGCATTAAGCTGCTCAGCCCTCTTTCTGCAGACGCCCTTATCACCATCGACCCATCCTCCCCCAACTCTCCCTCCTCCCCCGCCTCACCTCTGCTCAAGCATGTGCCAATGCAGCGTCGCTCAAACTATGCCATGTGCACAACTCTCGTTCGCTCCCCTATTCCCTCTTACTCCCCTTCTTGCTCCCCGTCTCTACGCCCATGCAGGCCACAGCAGAGTCAGTGTGTCGCCGCATCGGGCTGCTCAGGCCGCTCTCAGCCGACGCCCTCATCACCATCGACCCATCCTCCCCCAACTCCCCCTCCTCCCCCGCCTCGCCTTTGCTCAAAGCGAGCACCAGTGGGGGAGCGGGAGGGGGAGAGGAGGGGGGTTATGCATCGCTGACAGCGGCGGAGTTTGAGTTGCTATCGCCGTCGCAACAAGCTGCTGCGGTTCAACAACTCGTCCTCTTCTGCAGGTAGCTTGGGTAACTTGTTTATAGCGTGCGATAGGGCACCTGGGGGAGGGGGAGCGGGAGGGGAGAGGGGAAGAGGAGGGGGGGTTATGCGTCGCTGACCGCGGCAGAGTTTGAGTTGCTATCGCCGTCGCAACAAGCTGCTGCCATTCAACAACTCGTCCTCTTCTGCAGGTGTATTCTGGGCACCTGGGAGAAAGGGGGTGGGGGATCTGGCAACTGGGGGAGGGGCAGCGTGAGGGGGGGAAAGGGGGTGGGTGAGGGGGGGGTATGCGTCGTTGCAGGTGACTCGTTACCCGCGTTTGTATGTGTATTGGGCAAAACGTTTGTGTTTGAGGTGTGTTTCTGCCAACAATATGTGAGCTTGACTGATCTGAAGCTTGAGTGGTTTCCCGTGGACGTGCACTTGCCCCCTCCCACACACTCACTCAGTTTCTCACTTTCCCTTCCTCGTATGCTAAGGCACTCCCCCAGCAGATTAAAGTCTCACCCACCCAACCATACACACATGCGAAGCGCACTAACGAAATCACGCACCTGCACACATGCACGTATACAATCTTGTTGGCACCATTCCCCGTTGTTTTCTGGCAGAGTGGAGCCCAGCCACAAGTCCATGCTTGTGGACTATCTCAAACGCCAAAACGAAGTGGTGAGCTACCAAAGCACATCCAAAACACATCATTGTAGCGATTGGTAAGCCGTACCATGCATACGGCGGGTCTAAGCGCACTGCTTTCAAATTAATTAATTATAATTTTACTTCGACCTGCTCATAATTCTCGCATGCCCTGCCTCTCCGCCTGCACTTCCTCTTCTCTCGTCTCCTTTCTCCTCTCTTCATCCTCAGCCAAATTGCCCTTCTCGTCACAACAGGTGGCAATGACGGGCGATGGGGTGAACGATGCACCAGCACTTAAGAAGGCAGACATAGGCATTGCCATGGGGTCTGGCACTGCTGTGGCCAAGGTGAGATGAGATGCTATGCATGCACTACGAAGCTCGCCTCGCTCACACACCCTCTATCAAATCTCCTTCATTAAGCTCGCATGTTCCTTGTGCTCTTCTCTTTCCTCTCTCAAATCTGTGTCCATCTTCTCATGGCCTCGCTCTGTGCAGCAGACTGTGCAGTCGGCCCAATATATATATGTATATGTATATGTATATATATGTATATATATGAATATATATGATATATATGTATATATATGTATATATATGTATATATATGTATATATATGTATATATATGTATATATATGTATATATATGTATATATATGTATATATATATGCTCATTCTTTCCTTCTTTTTCCTGCACTTTCATTCCTCACGCTCTCTCTACACCAGGGAGCATCAGACATGGTGTTGGCAGATGACAACTTCTCCACCATTGTCGCGGTATGGCCCCCTCATTCCTTCCCCTCTTCCAATGCTCTTTCAGTGCTTTCATTTCTCTACCATATCTCGTGTACTGTGCCGTTAGATAAGTTATTCCCTTCCATTTTTGTACTTCCAGGACACCGTGCACGAAGTGGTCAATGCATATGGCAGCCCTCCCTCTCTCCCTTCCACTATCCCGTCCACCCTCCCATGGCTTGCCCTCCTTCCTTCCTACAACTGTCCCTCTCCCAAGCGGTGGGCGAGGGGCGGGCCGTCTACAACAACATGAAGGCGTTCATTTGCTACATGGTGTCCTCCTACATTGGAGAGGTCGTTGCCATCTTCCTCGCTGCCAGTCCAGGCCACTCCCAACTCACCTATTCCCCCCCCCCCCTCCCTCCCTCCCTCCCTCCCTCCCTCCCTCCCTCCCTCCCTCCCCCCTTTCTTCCCTCACCGCTGGTGCCCCCTACCCTCCCTCTCCCCCTCACTCCCTTGCCCCTCCCTCCGTACAACTACCCCCGTCCACCCCCCTCCCAGGCGGTGGGCGAGGGGAGGGCCATCTACAACAACATGAAGGCGTTCATTCGCTACATGGTGTCCTCCAACATTGGGGAGGTCGTCGCCATCTTCCTTGCTGCAGCAGTGGGCATGCCAGAGACGCTCATCCCCGTGCAGCTGCTGTGGGTCAACCTGGTCACTGATGGCTTACCTGCTACTGCGCTGGGATTCAACAAGCAGGACAGAGACGTGATGAGCATTAAGCCGCGAAAGGTGTGTATTCCATGTGCAACAACACACAGTGCTGGTTCTATGACAGCACACAGTGGGGCAGCAGTGGGCATGCCAGAGACGCTCATTCCCGTGCAGCTGCTGTGGGTCAACCTGGTCACTGACGGGCTGCCTGCCACTGCGCTGGGGTTCAACAAGCAAGACAGAGACGTCATGAGCATTAAACCACAAAAGGTACGTGATATGTAATGCATGCATACTGCACCAGCACACAGTGTCGCTGGTTCTATGACAGCACACAGTGGGGCAGCAGTGGGCATGCCAGAGACGCTAATTCCCGTGCAGCGGCTGTGGGTCAACCTTGACACTGACGGGCTGTCTGCCACAGCTCTGGGTTTTAACAAGCAGGACAGAGACGTCATGAGCATTAAGCCTCGAAAGGTACATATGCGTAATGCTACAGCACATAGTGTTGGTGCTTGGACAGCATGTGAGCAGTGGGCATGCCAGAGACGCTCATTCCCGTGCAGCTGCTGTGGGTGAACCAGAGATCACTGATGGCTTACCTGTCACTGCTCTGGAATTCGACAAGCAAGACAGAGACGTGATGAGCATTCGACCCAGGAAGGTGTGTATGTATAAGCAGATTCCACATTCGTTACAGTCAGTTGAAAGCCAACATATGCTCTTATTGGGTCAGTGCAGGTCACCGTATGGTTCCAACTGGATAGGAAACAGGGCTGGTGTGTGTATGTGACGAGTTGTGTTCTTGTGTGTGCATGTGTGTGGGTGTGTGTGAGTGCGTGCATGTGTGTGTGCATGCATGCATGAGTGTGTGTGCACATGTGTGCATGGGCGAGTGTGTGTGCACATGTGTGCATGGGCGAGTGTGTGTGCACATGTGTGCATGGGCGAGTGTGTGTGCACATGTGTGCATGGGCGAGTGTGTGTGCACATGTGTGCATGGGCGAGTGTGTGTGCACATGTGTGCATGGGCGAGTGTGTGTGCACATGTGTGCATGGGCGAGTGTGTGTGCACATGTGTGCATGGGCGAGTGTGTGTGCACATGTGTGCATGGGCGAGTGTGTGTGCACATGTGTGCATGGGCGAGTGTGTGTGCACATGTGTGCATGGGCGAGTGTGTGTGCACATGTGTGCATGCGTGCATGGGCGAGTGTGTGTGCACATGTGTGCATGGGCGAGTGTGTGTGCACATGTGCACATGTGTGCATGGGCGAGTGTGTGTGCACATGTGTGCATGGGCGAGTGTGTGTGCACATGTGTGCATGGGCGAGTGTGTGTGCACATGTGTGCATGGGCGAGTGTGTGTGCACATGTGTGCATGGGCGAGTGTGTGTGCACATGTGTGCATGGGCGAGTGTGTGTGCACATGTGTGCATGGGCGAGTGTGTGTGCACATGTGTGCATGGGCGAGTGTGTGTGCACATGTGTGCATGGGCGAGTGTGTGTGCACATGTGTGCATGGGCGAGTGTGTGTGCACATGTGTGCATGGGCGAGTGTGTGTGCACATGTGTGCATGCGTGCATGGGTGTATGTGTGCACATGCATGAGCACAGATGGAGGATGCAATCGTCAATGGATGGCTGTTCTTCCGCTATCTAGTCATCGGAAGTGAGTGCCTCCCTTGTTCACTCATGCACTGTATGTGCTACTTCTTTCTTCTCATTCTAGCTTCATTCTAGCTTCATTCTAGCTTCATTCTAGCTTCATTCTAGCTTCATTCTAACTTCATTCTAGCTTCATTCTAGCTTCATTCTAGCTTCATTCTAGCTGAATCTATACACCAGGCCAGGCAGATGTAGATGCTCCCTCTCCCCACCTTCTACTCCCCTCCCCCATCTTTTCTTTTCAGTCTACGTGGGGCTGGTCACAGTGGCTGCCTTTGTCTGGTGGTACATGTGGTTTGCCGATGGTCCCAAGATCACCTGGACCCAACTGGTGGGTCTATCTCCATTTATTTGTTGTTTCATACCCTTATCTGAACCAGATGAGGGCCGCAGTCTACCCAGCTGGTTTGTGAACCCCTGTAATCCGTCCTTCCTCTTGTTCCCTCTCACCTTCTCGTGTTCCCTGCGTGGATGTCTGACACATGTCAATCTATGGGACCTGCATGGATGCATGATGCATCTGGTGGCCCCGATATGCCTTTTCTCCCAGTGCTTCTAGTGTGTGACCGCGACATGCCTTTTTTCCCCGACATGCCGCTACTAGTCACCTCCCCACCCTCTCCCCCCACCCCCCTCGGTGCGTCCGCTCATTTCATCTTTCACAGGATGCTGCAGGGTTTTGAAAAACCAGACGCGTCCGCAGAGGTGTCTCCATCCCCCTCCAACGCACCCACTCAGCATCTCCTGGACCCGCGTCCACGTCCACATACTGTCGCCATGTCAGTGCTGCTGCTTCACATGCCTTCCCTCCCCCCTCCCCTTCTTCCACACACCCACGCAGGTCACCTTTGACACGTGTGTGGATTCATCTGGTCGCCCGTGCGCCGTGTTCCTGGACCCGCGTCCACGTACTGTGGCCATGTCAGTGCTGGTGGTGGTCGAGATGTTTAACGCCCTCAACAACCTCTCAGAGAATCAGAGCCTGCTGTGAGTCCATGAAACAAGGCCTCTGACTACCTGTGCTGGTTTCTTCCTGTCTTAGTCCACGCACGGTGGCCAGGTCAGTGCTGGTGGTGGTCGAGATGTTCAATGCTCTCAACAACCTCTCAGAGAACCAGAGCCTGCTGTGAGTCCAACACGCAAGGAATGCGTGTGCCTACTCCTGCCCATATCTCTGCCCATGATCCTGCCTGCGCACTGTTCTGGTCGTCCACGCACGGTGGTGTAGCCAGGTCAGTGCTGGTGGTGGTCGAGATGGTCAACGCCCTCAACAACCTCTCGGAGAGCCAGAGTCTCCTGTGAGTGCGTCAAAGGAGGAATGCAGGTGCCTATGCCTGCCCGTACCCCTGCCTGCACCTCTGCTGGCACCAGTTCCTGGTCGTCCCCGCACGGTGCTGTAGTCATGTCAGTCGAGTTTTGAGTCGACTCAATACTCGACTCACTACACACGCACGGTGGTGTAGCCAGGTCAGTGCTGGTGGTGGTCGAGATGTTCAACGCCCTCAAACAACCTCTCAGAGAATCAACGCCTGCTGTGAGTGCCATTTCTTCTACCTAGAAGTGTGGTTGGCCACACTTGCCTGTACTCCTGCTTGAAGAATGAGTTTCTCTTACCATCGCATCCCCGCACCCCCTCCAACTCTCTTCTCTGCTGCATCCGAGAGCCCATCCAACTCCCCTCCCAACCCGGCCTGGTCCAACCTCTGGCTGCTCACTGCTTACACTCTCTCCATCCTCCAGTAGTAGAGAGGACGCTTAAGCAAAGGATCAAAAGTGAAAAAACAAGGGTGAAAATCGCAGATCTGGAAAACCCTTGGCTTCCGAAAAAAACTCCGAGGGTGGCACTCTCTCCATCATCCTCAACTGCTGCTCGTTATGTGCCACCCTCTCTTGCTTCTTTTCACTTCTTCCTTCGTCGTGTCCCCCGCCGATGCAGCGTCCTGCCACCCTGGTCCAACCTCTGGCTGCTAGCAGCCATCACTCTCTCAATGATTCTCCACTTCCTCATCCTCTACATCCCAGCCCTCGCTGTCCTCTTCTCTGTGAGTGTGCATACACGCCTTTTCCTCATCGTTTCGTCCTTTCCCTCACTCTTTTTCTTCTATATGTAAGTGCGTCAGGGCCCTGCAACCTGCAATATGACTCCTTTCCTTTCTCTTCTTCATTCTTCCCCTTGCTCACCATTCGCCTCACCTTGCCCAACTCATCCCCTTTCCATCTTGTTATTCCATGGCAGGTCGGCCCTCTCTCCTGGCCTGAGTGGCGCGCAGTGCTGCTCTTCTCCTTCCCGGTATGCCACCCTACCCATTCTAGCCACCCCCCGAGTTCTCTCCGTTGTAGGCGTAATCCTTTGTGTCCCGTCCTCTGCGCGACTTTTGAGTCGACTCAAAACTCCACCCCCCGATTTCTCTCTGTTGTAGGCGTAATCCCGTCCTCTGTGCGTTGCCCTGTTTCGTGCCCTTGCCCTCTCCTTGTGTTCAGTCCCCTACCCTGTCTAATACCCTGCACTCCCACACGCTTGTCCCTTCACCTGTACCACGCCCTGCCCTCCTCCCGTGCTCCGTCCCCTACCCTGTCCTCATGCCAGGTCATCATTATGGGCGATATTCTCAAGATATTTTCAAACCCTGCCCCACGCCATGCCCTCTCCACATGCCCTGCCCCGCCCCCCCTGCTCCGTCCCTTACCCTGTCCTCATGCCAGGTTATCATTGTGGACGAAATTCTCAAGGTCTTCTCAAGAAACGTTTCAGGTGTGGCATCAGGTGGCAGGTACCAGGTGTGGTATCAGGTGTGGTATCAGGCGGGAGGTCTGGCGCCAGGTGAGATTATGGGTACCACACCTTCTTTTCTGCTGCAGAGAAATCTTCAGGCATGAGCGTTCTAGTACCGTAGTACACCACTTTTGCATTTTCCAGTGAAAACTCTCACAACCAAAAACTTTCGCTGTTTGTTGTGCTTTCGGCTCCACCCACCACTACATGCGTCGAGTAAATTCACATGCCCTGGGATTATAATCAGAAGGTAACTTCTCTTCCCTCCCTGCTGCATGTCCTGGAGGATACTCACACGCTGCCTTCTCTTCCCTGCCTGCTGTGCCCGCTGTATCACTCTACTCCCCGTTTTTCCCTGCTCTATCCCTCTCCTTGAATCAGCTCATCCTGCCAAGGCCAAGTCATCGCGGCCGCAGTGGTCCCTGCTGCCGTTCAGGCGGCCAAAGGAAGAATCGGGGGAGAACCACACAGCCTGATGCAGGCTCGTGCACAACTGGGTACCGTATCTCCGCATGTGCGAGTTTCCAGACGTCTATCAAGATTTTATTTTTTTATTTTATTTTTTTCCCCAAAGCCTCCCAAGATTATCTCAGGGCTTGAATTTCTAGATGGGAACTCTCTCTAGCTTTATGACTTGCGCGAGAACTGTTTGATATCTAATGCCAGCCAGTGTGGTGGAATTGCTTTCTCTCTCATCATTAATCCATTATGGCTTTGCATGACATTTATCCAGGTGCTTAAGCGAGCCGCATGATCAAAAGAACATTTTCCAAGAAAGTTTATGCAGCACGGAAGATTCTTCCACAATGTCGCTTCCGCAAACGATGTGACAAATCAGCTACCAGATTATACAAAGTAGCAAGTATCCGAGTGTCGAGAAAGTTTGCCAGCAGCTGTTACAATTCGCGATTGTCGCGGGTGGGCTCCCGAGCTCACCCAATCAACCATCGATTGCGTCCAGGGCCTCAGATATCAGGAAAAAAACCCTGAAATTCCTGATTTTGGCAGCCGATTTTTAAGCTACCCTGAACTTTCAGAGTTGGGATTTTTGTTGGACTGATCTTTCAGGTTTTTTTTTTTGGCCACACTGATTTTCCAGGTTTTTTTCCCGTGGAACACTGATGCCACTACGTTGTAACGAAACCGACACTGAAAGCGAATCTCACCTGTGCCATGTTACCTCGCCCGCAATTACAGGGAATCTCACATTCCCTGTACGTGGGCACCCCGGGGCAGGACCAATGTTGCCTCAGGTTCACTTTGGCTGGTGTTTTTTTGGCGCGTCGCCTCTCACACCATTGGGCAGTTTCGCTGCAGCATCCAGTGTTGGCCAGTCCTAACTTGGCAGACATGTGGTGCTGGCGGGCTGCCAAGGTTCCTGCCCCGTACCCATCATGTGCGGTGCGTTAGGGTTGGGCTGTGCTGGCAAGCACCGTGCCATCCTTCTTGAAGTCGGGGTGAGATGATGATGCCTCCACGCCGCCCAGCCCACCCACCGTTTCCGCCACCCTTCTTGTCCAACCTTTGCATCAGAACCAGGGTTTCCCTCGTTCACCCTAGTGTACCAGGAGGCAGCCAGCCGAGGCCTGAGTTTTGCGCTTGCAATCCCTTGCCTTCGCAGTTGTCTCTAGGTTAGATGCGAGGCCGTACGCGCTGCTTACCATGGCGGAGCAGCTTGATGGCACGGAAAGAAACGGCGACCACGCCGGTGCTGCGCATCGCCAGCCGCATGTAGACCGTACAGAAGCTGTGACCGGCATCGACCTGTTGTTTTCAGGCTTAGCGCAGGTCAACGTCAATGAGAGGCAACCTGAACTAGAGCCGCCAGACAAGATACCGTTCGAGCACATAGATCTGGAGCCGCTCTGTGCGTCCCCGTCAGCGCCAGACATCGAGCAAGACAGTTCACCGCCTCCAGCTGACAATACCACTCCTGAACCAGAGGCCAAGAAAACCGGCCGATACACGCAGTCAACGCTGCCATTCATTCCTAAGGCCGCAGTCGACGGGGCTACTGTGCCTGCGCCAACCGACCAACGGTCGTCGCCCGTGATAACAAAAACGCAGGAGTCGCCATCTGTTCCAGGTCCTTCGAAGCAGTCTGGACGCGACGCGCTCTACGCCGAGGCTCTGTATAAGTACAAGGCTGAGTGGCTGGAGAGGTTTGAGTGGCTAATTCTACTGCGGCAATCTGACGGTCTCCCTGCTTTCAAATGCTCTATCTGTACCGAGCATGCAGGTTATGCTGGAAAGTGCGGGAAAGGCGGGAAGGGCGCCTCAGACGTACAGACTCAGGCGTTCAAGCGGCACGCGCAAACAACCAAGCACAAGGAGGCGGTCAAGAACCAGGCGAAGCTTCTTGCTGAAGCTGGCCGGCAGCCGCGTATCAACGGTGACAACCTCGCTTGTGACACCGAGAAGGAGCGGGTCATCAAGCTGTGTGACTCCCTCCTCTTCGTGACCAAGCAGGATGCACCCATAGAACTATGGGTGAACCTCGTTCGCTACCTCGCGGAGCAGAAGGTGCCGGGATTTCCCGCGAAAGGATACGGCACCTACTACACCACGTGAGTAAACGCCGGGTTTTCATGTTCTTCGTGTTGTGTGTGTTTAACTTTTGGGCACGCTCTAACCGTGATTCACATGCGCCACAGGTACGGCTTTGGCCAGCTCACACAGTCAATCGCGACATGGTTACACACCACGCAGCTCGAGCACATCCAAGCAAGCCCGTACATCGGACTCACTTGTGACGAGAGCACAGACAGGTGTCGAGGAAAACACATGATCCTTTTCGTTACTTTCATCCGTGAGAATCGACCGGTCACTGAGTTTCTGGCCCTGCTGACTGTGGAGAAGTGCGACGCTGCATCTCTCCTCTCAGTGTTTCTGTCTCACTTGCAGGCTCTCGGCATCGACCTTGCCCGGATCGCTGGTATAAGCACCGATGGGGCGAAGGTGATGATGGGACGCAAGAACGGCCTCGTCGTACGGCTTCGCCTCCGCGTTCCACATCTCGTCTCAAGCCACTGTGTTGCCCACAGGTACGTTTTTTGTTGCACCATGCGTAAACTGCTTGACGTGACTGTATCATCCTATGCTAATATCCTGTGTTGCTCGCTTGGGTTTTCTTGTGCCTGCAGGGAGGCGCTCGCAGCAAAACATGCAGCCCGGGCCCTTCCCGAGTTCGACATGGTTGACAGCCTGATCCGTCAACTCGCAGAGCATCTCGGCCGTTCCGGCCCCTGGCATCAACGCTTTATGGAGCTTCAAGAACTCTTCACGTCCACGAACCTGGAGCTTCAGGGGATTCACACGGTCCGCTGGCTCTCCAGGGGTGACGCTGTTTTGCGTCTGGTGGCCGTCTTCCCCGCGATCATCGTCATGCTGTACGAGTGGGACGAGACGCTGTACGAGCTCGCCACGAGCTACAGGTTTCACTTCCTCTTGTACTTCCTGGCCGACGTGCTCGAGCAGCTGAACATCCTGAACAAGTCTTTCCAGCAGCGAGAGGTGAGCGACTTGGCGTTTCCGTGTGTGCTTAACTTGTCTTGATGTCTTGTTATTGTATTTGTGGCTTCTGTGTGTGTTTGTCATTGCAGTTATATTGTTGACAGTCAAACAAAACATTATTTGTGTGAGAAAGCACCCCCAATCTCGACTGCCGTGTTTCCCGCAATGTTATTTCTTTCGCCCAAACATAGCTTGACATTGCAGGTGTGCACGCGCAGATCAGGAGAACCATCTCCTTCCTAGAGACCCGCTACGTCGACTGCGGCGATGATTTTGGGGGCGGGTTGAGCGCGCGCCTGTCCCCGTTCATCATGAAGTACGGGCCGGACAGTGACAACCCCGAGGTGACGGTGCAAGGAGTGGACTCAGACGGTCGGCCCACTAAACACACGTTCAAACTGCACGAGAACCCGAGCGAGGACTACCCAACGCTGGGAAATCACTACAACTGCGTGGATCTCTGCACCTCGTTTGCAGAGGCGCTCGTGCGCAACCTCACCAAGAGGTTTGCAGATTTGGACTCCCTTGTGGGAGTCCGGCTGTTCATGCCCGATGAGTACCCACCAGAGAGAGGAGAGCGCCACAAGCAGTGTCTCGAGTGGCTCATGTCACTCGTCAGGCTGTTCAGGGCAGTGGAGACAGACTACATCCTTCCTGGTACGTGTTTATTGATTGTGCACCAGTGCTGTACTTAGCGTAACATTTTGAACGTAAAGTTCTGTGTTGGTGTCTGCCTCTGCCCTGTTGGTCAGTCATCCTAACGATCACTTATCTGCTTTGTCTGGCAGGGATCGACAAGCGCCGGGCGATCAAAGAGCTGCGAGCCTTTTGCCCCATCCTCGCAGGTGCCCCGAAGACCGAGAGAAGCTTCCATGCCGGCCTCACTGCGATGCTGAAGACAAGCGACTGGACGACCAGCTACCCCAACCTTGTGCGTCTCTGGGTCGCTGTCGCCGTACTGCCGCTGAGCACAGTGGAATGTGAGCGCGGGTTTTCCCGCCAAAACATCATCAAGTCGTGGCAGCGTGGGAGCCTCAAAGACGCCCGCCTTGAAGATCTCGTCACGATGTCGCTCCTCGAGTACGTGCCCGACTACAACGAAATCGTGCAGGTCTGGCGCAGCTACAAGAAGCGCCGGCCCTTTGGCAATGTGGCAGCAGCTCCAGCAAGAGAGGGGCAGGGTAGTGGCAGGGGAAAGGAGGCAGAGGCAGTACAGGAGTGGGAAGCAGAGCCAAAGGCTCAGGGGGGTGATGATGATGATGGCTCTGATTCCGATGATGATGCATGCATGACCCCTATTAGAGATTCTTAGATTATAACTGCAGCAACTCTTCTTGTGACTATTTATTTTAAATGTAGGAGTCTGAAATACAGTCAGTGTTTTTGCAAATGGTACACTGATGCATCAGGCTTTGAAAATTTGCAACACTGAACTTTCAGCTTTTTTTTTTTTGGGACACTGACAATCAGAGTTCCCACGCAGGGGGACCCTGATGGCCTGACGACCCTAAAAGTGAATCTGAGGCCCTGTACGTAGCTAAACATCTTATATGAAGGGCACACATGGCGAAAAAAATGCGTCGTTTTAACGCCTGCAAACAAAACAATGACATAACGTTAGACTTTGGTTAGTCATGTGCTTGTTCCCCATCTCAGTGACTTACCACCAGCGGGCCTTCACCGTCACTCATAACATTGCCTTAGATATGCTTGAAAGCTTCTGGGTATTGTTCAAACGCTTGGAAATATCTATTGACTTCCATGAACCCTGCACATGGAAATCAACCCTGAAACACGATGACTACATCAACAAAAGACATAACAACATTATCATTACAGGCTGGACTCCAGACAACATGGGGTTACTAGTACGCGCATGGTTAAAAGCTCAAGCAGAGGCAGAGAGAGGCCTTGGTGCGACTCACCGCGTTTCTCACGCTGAAGACGCCGCGTCCCACACGATTCGTAGGCCACCGGTCCTAGTAATGCAGTGAGCATGCCGACGAGCAGTATTGGGAGGTTGGGGAAAAAAAGAAATGCAACAAATTAAAATGCACTAAGGAATGGGAGGACTGGCAGGGGCGGGAAAAAAAGGAACTTATAAGCCATCTCGACATATCTGCACACATATCGGCAAGATACGAACAGATCGATTGCTCGCGAAGCATAACCGGTGAGAATAGATGAACGAGTTACAACCTAAGGCACACACACGGGAAAATGATAGCTTGGTTAAGAGTTACGGGAAGCATGTGTAGCACACCTTTCGGCGCTTTTCGCGCGGAACCCGGCGATTCCGTTACTAGTCGCTGGTGCCACGTTCTCCGCGTGTAGAAAACGTTGCTGTGTAATCTGTAAAAGGATAGGGGAGGATTCGCAGGGGCCGAATTGATAACATGGGTCTGAGTTACAAGCAGTGGTAATAAAATGCAATAACACGTAGAAGTGATGTGGTCTTTAGGTAGATGCTAATTGTGTTAAGAGGACACTCAGAGGCAGGAGATGTGAAGAACCTTAGTCAGTTGTGTGAAAATGAGATAGGTGGCGGGTGTTTGGTCGGGAGAGAGTCATGCGCAGAGTGAGGGTAAGAAAGATAGATGCTTCCAGAGCTTGGAGGTGTCCTGAAGTGTCGTCAAAATATGTCGTTGATTTTTGCTGCAGGCAAGAGCACCCCAGTGATTGGTTAGTAAAAAATAATTAGGTTCGACCACTTCGTTACGGGTTAGCTGAACCTTGGTCCGTGGAAGCCACGTCAGTACCCGAAATCTGAACACTTAGCACTGATTGGGTGTGACTGTGAACCCTTATGCCTGTTGCCAGCTCCGATTCCTGGTTGTACCTTGGCGACGGTCGTGCAGTTTGTATCCACGTTACCGTGTTAGCAACTTTCGAGAATGCTAACCTAATTTGTGCCAAGTGTTCATCTATCGGACACCTGCAGTTTCACAGGAAGGGAGACTCCCACATTTTGGTCGTGACCAGGTGTGCTGTTCGGTGCCGAGGTGTCGAATTTGATGCTAGAAATGTGCGGTCCGAGAAACCCACAAATCCGAAAATCATGCCTTGGGTTACCCACGTATCCAAAATTCGCGGCTCGGTTACCCCTTGTATCCTAAATTTGTGTGAGTTGCTTTTTTCAGTCTATGCTTTTTGGATACATTCAGGATACAAGTCAGCAACTTTCCTGCAGCTTTCAGACTTAAACTCAAATTTTGGCCTAAGCCATTTCCGCGATGTTCTCGCCATGGCCCGCTACTATGTCGCCACTTGCCTGCTCGTTCTCCTCGCTACAACGTCTGCCGTCGTGAACGCGGGAAGCGACAATTTGAATGCGGCGAGCGACAAGGCCGCTGCTGAGAGGGGGAGGGCCGCTGCTGGTGAGAGGGAGAGAGCTGCTGCTGCTGAGAGGGAGAGGGCTGCTGCTGCTGAGAGGGAGAGGGCCGCTGCTGCTGAGAGGGCCGCCGCTGAGAGGGAGAGGGCCGCCGCTGAGAGGGAGAGAGCCGCTGCTGCTCAGAGGGAGATGGCCGCTGCTGCTGAGAGGGCCGCTGCTGAGAGGGCCGCTGCTGACAAGGCTGCTGCTGAGAGGACCGCCGCTGAGAGGGACGCCGCTGCTGAAAGGGAGAGGGCCGCTGCTGAGATGGTCGCTGCTGAGAATGCCGCTGCTGACAAGGCAGCTGCTGACAAGGCCGCTGCTGACAAGGCCGCTGCTGACAAGGCCGCTGCTGACAAGGCCGCTGCTGACAAGGCCGCTGCTGACAAGGCCGCTGCTGACAAGGCCGCTGCTGACAAGGCCGCTGCTGACAAGGCCGCTGCTGACAAGGCCGCTGCTGACAAGGCCGCTGCTGACAAGGCCGCTGCTGACAAGGCCGCTGCTGGCAAGGCCGCTGCTGACAAGGCCTTGAAGGCCTTAAATCGGATCCGCGGCCAGAAACTGGGCGACGATGACTCGATCTAATTTTAGGGTTGGAGAGGGCCCTTGGACGTTTTGGGGGGTGGGAAGAGAAGCGGGGGTAAACTAGCAGGTGCGGTGACATGTGGCTGATTTCGGTGGTTTTGTGGAAGCTCGGTTTTTAGGAAAAAGCGGGAAGATTTGGTCGTGTTGTTGTTATAGCTCCATAGATTGATGAACGTGGGAGGGGACAATATGAAGTGCAATCTACTTTTGCTAGGAAATATATGCAAGTGCTATCCATGTTATTTGCAAATGTATGGTCATCACTATAATCGGGATAACAGAGAGACCTGTAGAATGAGATTCAAGTTATAGCATTGTCCCAACTGCACATGTAGAAGGAAAGGGAGAAGGAAAGTAAAACAGCCAAAAAATCCCAAAAGCAACACACATAAAAAACCCCCATCAAGATACCCAAACAAAACACCTAGTCAAGACACCCCATCCCGCACCCCATTTCACCCCCCTTCAATCACATCTCTGAAAACCATTGCTGTGAGTGCCCTTCTTTCAACCAAAACCTCTTGATGCGGCTGGGTACCCCTGCTTTACTCCTGCTGCGCACGGTGGCCATGTTCAACGTTCTCAACAACCTCTCAGAGAACCAGAGCTTGCTATAAGTGCCTATTTTGGCTTAGAGGTATTGTGAATCACTCCTGCCCGGGTCACGTACACTACCCATATCAGTGCCCATGGTAGCGAGATGCTCAATGCCTCAACAACCTCTCCAAGAACCAGAGCCTGCTGTGGTAGGAGCTGAGTTGCACTGCAGCATCCGGCCGCCCTGCTCGCAACCATCACTCCCGCCACGCATGCTCTCCACATCCCTTAACTCTGATGATCATGGAACGCTCTCCTCTCCTCACCACCGCATCCCCCAATCTCCGTTGCAACTAGGTGACTTTTGAGTCGACTAAAAATTCATCCCCTTAACTCTGATGATCATGGAACGTTTTTCTTTCCTCACCACCGCATCCCCCAATCCCCGTTGCAGCGTCCTGCCAGCCTGGTCCAACCTCTGGCTGCTGGCAGCCATCACCCTCTCCATGTCCTCCACTTCCTCATCCTCTACGTCCCAGCCCTCGCTGTCCTCTTCTCTGAGAGTTCATTCGCGCCTCTTCCTCATGTTGACGTCATCCTTGCCCTCACTGTTTCTCTTCTTTGTAAGTGCGTCAGGGCCCCTGCAAGATGATTCCTTTCCTTTCTCTTCTTCGTAGTTCCCCTTGCTCACCATTCGCCTTGCTCACCATTCGCCTTGCCCAGCTCATCCCCTCACACGTGCCTTGAGTACCCCTTTCCATCTTGTTATTCCATGGCAGGTCGGCCCTCTCTCCTGGCCTGAGTGGCGTGCAGTGCTGCTCTTCTCCTTCCCTGCACGCCACCCTTCCAACTTAAGACATCCCCCTCTTTCTCTCTGTTGTATGCGTAGGGTGTTTTTATTCTGAATTCTCAGAAACACCCTTCCTCTCCGTTGTAGGCGTAATCCTCCATGCTCCATCCTCTGTCCGTTGCCCTGTCTCATGCCCTGCCATCCTCCCGTATTCAATCCCCTACTCTTTCTCATACCTTGCCATCCCCCATGCTTGTCCCTTAACCTGTCCCCATGCCAGGTGATAATCGTGGACGAGATGCTCAAGATATTCTCAAATCCTGCCCCACGCCATGCCCTCTCCCCATGCCCTGTCTGCCCCCCCTGCTCCGCCCCTTTACCTGTCCCCATGCCAGGTCATCATCGTGGACGAGATTCTCAAGATCTTTTCAAGAAACATGTCAGGTGGGGCGTCAGGTATCAGGTGGTGTGTCAGGTGTCAGGTGTGGTGTAAGGCGTCAGGTGAGGGATCAGTGCTAGGTTAGATGTCAGTACCAGGTGAAGAACACATAATTGCCGGCTGCATGAAGTTCAGGAGGGTTTCGGCTCTGTAACACATCTGTCAGGCATGAGCATTGTGGGCGCACTCACCCTGCATTAGTGCATAAGGGCGTGTTCCTACGGCCTCTTATCAGGCGAACCTCTTGTCAGATTCGCGTCGCACCGCACTGAAACGCGCATAATAACATTCGATCGCATTGAATCGCATTGAACCGCACAAGTCTGACAAGAGGTCGCCTGATAAGGGGCTGTAGGAACACGCCCTAAGAGGTCCCTAGTAGCTTGTTGCAATACGCTTGCGTTAGTGTGTGCTCCGTTCTTGCCTCCACCTCCACTACATGCATTAGCGTGTACGCACTGCACATGCCTTGAAGTGTTTTCAGGTATTGTCCTTTTCTGTGTCTCGATTGGTTTCTCTGGAGTCTCTGGAGTCAACTCACACACCACCTCTTCCCTCCCTGCTTTATCCCTTGCCTTGAATCAGCTCATCCTGGCAAGGCCAAGTCATCGTCGCAGCCGCAATGGTCCCTCCTGCCGTTCAAGCGGCCAAAGGAAGAGTCAGGGGAGAACCACACAGCCTGATGCAGGCTAATCTTACACATCTGGTATCTGCCAATGTGCGAGTTTTCGAAGACTTCATTTTTTCTGATGACAGCCAATGTTTTACACGTGCTAGCCTGCTCATCATTTTTCTTATGTGGCTTGGCATGACATTGATCAGGTGGCCAATCATAGATGGCAGCTTCTTTAGAGAACTAAGCCATGTGCTTGTATTTATTTATTAAATTCATGAAAACAAATTCTTCACTTCAAAATCTTCCTACGGTACTTAACCATTTGAATGAATGCTAGGTACCTGTAGAATACACGAGAGAATATACCAGAAGGTACAGAATCTTCATTTCATCTTGAACAAGCATCGTGTAACACCCTCATCAAAGCAGGTTCACAAAAGCACTGGATTGGAAGCAAGCAACCCAGACGCAGCAGCCCATGTTAGCCCAATAATTGTTGCAACAACCTCAGCAGGTTTACGCATGACTCTCACCCCTTCTCTCTCGCTCTCCCTTCGTCACCCTTTCGCCCCACTACCCAATAGACGCATCAGCCAGAGCAGCAGAGCTGCATACGCCACCAGCAACAGCAAGAGGCACGCCCTTGTAGCATGCCACCCTCTCCCCGTTGGTGCGCAGATCCACCTGCACCGCTTCCCACACCTTCTTCTTCGGGTTCAGCTGCGCGTCTGGTTCCCCGGGGTAGTCGGGGCACGTGATTCGATCGCCGGGTGCTGCCCCCTCAGGTGGGTTGATAAGCTCGACCTGTCAGGGAAACAAGAGTGGGAGAAAAAGGAATAGGAAAGGGGAGGTGAGTCAGGTCTCACACCTTCTTCGGATTCAGCGGCGAGTCTGGTTCCCCGAGGTAGTTGGGGCACGTGATTCGATCGCTGGGTGCTGCCTCTTCAGGCGGGTTAATGAGCTCAACCTAATAGGGAGGAGTGAGGGAGAGTGAGAGGAGGGAAGGGAAGAGGAGGAGCATAAGGTCTCAACCCTACTTTTTCAGGTTCTGCTCCCTGGGGTACTCGGGGCAGGTGATACTATCGCCAGGTGCTGCCCTCTTTGGTGCCGGGTTAATGAGCTCCAACTGAAGAGTGGGCGACGGTGACGGGAGAGGGAGTGAGGGAAGGTGAAGGGAAAAGTAGGAAGGGCACCATGTAGTCGCTGACCAGATGGCACCGCACTTGGCGAGTTCACCCACAGTTGACCCACAGTTGACCCACAGTTGACCCACAGTTGACCCACAGTTGACCCACAGTTCACCCACAGTTCACCCACAGTTGACACACAGTTCACCCACAGTTGACCCACATTGACCTGCATTGACCCACATTGATCCACATTGACTCACAGTTGACCTACATTGACCCGCACTGACCCACAACTCATCGCCACCACCCTCTTGATGCCCCTCATGGCTGTGCTTGTGCTTCACATGCTAGTGTACAAACCAACTGCCATAGCATCGAACTGCGCTATATAATACACATGGTGGGTGCCCCATCACCCACCTGAGTGTGGTCCGCATTTGATGCAGCGAGAACCATGGCATGGCTCTTGACGCCCCTCATGGCTGCATAAAGCATGAGCTTCAGATGGAGCAACAGAAACCAACTGCGCTAGCAACAGGCTACACTATAGGCCACCTGCCCAATCACCTACCCCATCACCTACCTGGGTGTGGTCCGCATTTGATGCAGCGAGCACCATGGCATGGCTCTTGACGCCCCTCATGGCTGCTGGCTTAAGGTTGCACAACACACATACCAACCGATCCTGCATACATGACATGACAACACACATGCATGCACACGTGGGGAGAAACAGAGGGATAGAGAAATGAAAACGAAGCTGTGTGGAGCAGTGGGCCCTTAATGCCCCTCATTGCTGCTGGCTTGAGGTTGCACAACACACACACCAGCCGATTCTGGTGGAAGGACACACGGAGGGAGAGGTGGGAGTCAAAGAAAGAAAGTCATAATCAAGATGGAGGGGAGGAATGCATGGCCATGAAAAGAGCACCGCCTTCACCTGAACACACCTTCTACTGCACACAACCCCTCTGTTCCTCACCTGCATCTGTTCGATCGGCACGAATTTAACCAACCCGTTGACAACGGTGCGCGGCCCCTCTGCTTCACCCAACTCTATCTCCTCCACATACAGCGAGTCCGTGTCTGGGTGCTTTCTCACTCTCAACTCACAAGACCGTTTTCCACCGCATTGCACCATCCTGCGCCCGAAGAAACCTCCATTCCTCACCTGCATCTGTTCGATCGGCACAAACTTCACGAGTCCGCTGACAACGGTGCGAGGCCCCTCGGCTTCCCCCAGGTCGATCTGCTCCACATACAGCGAGTCCGCGTCTGGGTGCTTGTCCACCTTCACTATCCGCCCCACTCTCAGGTCCAACCGAGACACATCCACTGGTGCGCTCTCTGCTGCTCCTCCTCCTGCTTTCCCTCCTCCGGATTTCCCCTTCTCTACCTTCTCCCCCTTCTCTCCCTTCTCTCCCTTCTCCCCCTTCTCCCCCTTGCTCTTCTTCTCTTTCTTATCAGCTGCACCATCTGCCGCCCCGTCTCCCTTCTCCCCCTTCTCCTTGCCCTCCCCTTTCTGCTTCGTCACACCATCAGCACCACCACCGCCACCTTTCCCCTTCCCCTTTCCAGCACCACCACCTGCCTTGGCACCACCAGCACTAGCAGCAGAACCACCAGAAGCAGCAGCGGCGGCGGCAGCAGCAGTGCGATCAGCCTGGCTTCCAGCAAACCTATTTCTGAAAGCGTCCACCTCGTCGTCCTTCATTTCTCGGAAGATGGGCTCCACGGCACCGATGGTATGCCCAGCCGCCACCACCCCCCACGGCTGGCAGGCCGCTGCTGCTGCGGCGTCGGTGAGAGAGAGGGACGAGGCGGGCAGATTCAGCTGCGCCAGCACCTGCCAAAGGCAAGAGGGAACGGGGAGAAAGGGAAACAGGGGAAGAAGAAGCCTTAAAGATCCTGGTCCCATGCAAATCTGTGGCTGAAAGCAGGAACCTGGTGGTGCCAGTGGTCCTTCATTTCTCGGAAGATGGGCTCCACGGCACCGATGGCTTGCCCAGCCGCCACCACCCCCCACGGCTGGCCGGCTGCTGCTGCTGCAGTGTCGGTGAGAGAGAGAGAGCGATGAGGCTGGCAGATTCAGCTGCGCCAACACCTGTGGTTGAGGAGGAGGATGGGGTCGACCAGAGGACAAAGAAGGGAAGTGGAGTGTGAATGGGAAAAGGAGGGTATGAAAAGGAGCAGCAGCGTGGCCAGCAGATGCACCACCCCCACCGCTGACCGCATCACCACAGCGCACCGTGCCTTATCCTCCTTATAGCCCCCAGGCCCCGGCACGCAGCCTACCACCCCAAACAAAATACCATCCCCGCCACTCACGTCAGGAGAAGGCCTCTTAACCAGCAGCACACAAGCCTCCCCTCACTTTACACCACCTTGCATCAAGAGACTCACCTTTTCTGAGAAGGAGGGCATGAAGGGGTGCAGCAGCGTGGCCAACAGATGCACCACGCCACCCCCACCGCGGACCGCATCACCACAGCTTGAAGCAGCAGTCACCAAGCCTCTCAACGAACAGCAACACCTCATACCACAGGACCCACCTTTTCTGAGAAGGAGGGCATAAAGGGATGCAGCAGCGTGGCGAGCAAATGCACCACCCCCACCGCGGACCGCATCACCACAGCGCAGCGCGGCTTATCCTCCTTATAGAGCTTCCAGAACTTGGAATCCTGCAGGTACAGGTTCCCCGCGCTGCTGACCGCCATGGCCGTTTTAAGCGCCGCTTTTAGCTTCACTTTCTCCATATTGTCAATGTATTCCTTAACTAAGTCTCCAACTGTCTGCCCGAACTTGGCTGTCAGGTCGTCCTCCTGTGCTCCCAGAGCTTCTGGTACGATGGATGCGAAGCCCTCGCCTGGAAAGAATTTGAATCAGAGGGGGCAAGATGGGGGCAGGGAAGGAGGGAGGAGGGGAGCACGGAGAGAGAGCCGTGAGACACGCTTCTCTGCTCGAACTTGGCTCGTCCTGCTCTCTGCTCGAACTCTGCTCGTCCTGCTCTCTGCTCGAACTCTGCTCGTCCTGCTCTCTGCTCGAACTCTGCTCGTCCTGCTCTCTGCTCGAACTCTGCTCGTCCTGCTCTCTGCTCGAACTCTGCTCGTCCTGCTCTCTGCTCGAACTCTGCTCGTCCTGCTCTCTGCTCGAACTCTGCTCGTCCTGCTCTCTGCTCGAACTCTGCTCATCCTGCTCTCTGCTCGAACTCTGCTCGTCCTGCTCTCTGCTCGAACTCTGCTCGTCCTGCTCTGCGCCTGGTGCTTCTGGGACGACGGAAGCAAAGCCCTCGCCTGGAAAGCGGATAGTTGGCAGGTGTGCAAAGGAGGATACTGAACAATCATACGCCGGCATGTTACAACATATATGCACTGTATGTTCCGTCTGTATGCTCTGTCCAAACTTGGTTGTGAGCTTCAACTGACAAAGTTTCCACGGGCTTGAGTCACTAGTTCGCACTTTCAAGCTCGAGTCACCTTCTGATTTGGCGAGTAAAGCCAGGGAGCGGTTGACTTACTTTTGAGACGTCTCAAAGGTTGACCCACTTCACAAATTTATTGAGCAGGGCAGAGCAGCTTGTTGTTTAGTCAACTCAAAACCAGTGACCCACCTTCGGGCTTGGCGAGGAATGCGAGCGTGCGGTTGATGAAGTTCCCAAGGTTTTTGAGCAGCTTGTTCTTCTGCTTCGATTATTGAGTCATCTCGCAGTTAGTCACCCACCTTCGGGCTTGGCGAGGAAGGCAAGGGTGCGATTGATGAAGTTCCCGAGGTTCTTGAGCAACTCGTTGTTCTGCTTCGCCTGCAGATCTGCCCATGTGAACACCGTGTCCGATACCTGTGTGTCGGAGAGCCAGGGAAAGGGGGAAGAGGTGGGCAGCAAGGGAAAGGGGGAAGAGGTGGGCAGCAAGGGAAAGGGGGAAGAGGTGGGTAGCAAGGGAAAGGGGGAAGATGTGGGCAGCAAGGGAAAGGGGGAAGAGGTGGGCAGCAAGGGAAAGGGGGGTGAAAACAGGAGGCATATGAGAAGGGAAAGGAATGGTTGGACGGGTGAGTTCTTGAGCAGCTTGTTGTTCTGCTTCGCCTGCAGGTCCGCCAATGTGGAAAGTGTTTTGAGAGGTCTCAAAAAGTGTTTTGTGATTGAAGAAGTGTTTTGAGACGTCTCAAAAAGTGTTTTGTGATTGAAGAAGTGTTTTGAGACGTCTCAAAAAGTGCTTTGTGATTGAAGAAGTGTTTTGAGACGTCCCAAAAAGTGTTTTGTGATTGAATAAGTGTTTTGAGACGTCTCAAAACACTTCTTCAAACGCCTGCAGGTCCGCCCATGTGGACACCGTGTCGGATACCTGCGTGTTGAGAGGAGGGGGAGAGGGACAAAAGGAGGAGGAGGAAGGAAGAGGGATGGAAAGGGAAACTTCATGGAGAAACTTCTTCATTCTGCCATGCATGCTGGTTCTGGAACATCTCCACAAGAAACCCCATGTTCAGTGGGCATCGCTGCCAAACACCCCCCATGCCCCCTTCAAGCACACGCACCACCACACCCTGCCTTGTGTTCACTGAGACCATGCCTCGGGCCTGTTCGTGAGAAGGTAGTAGCGCCACACCTCCACGGGGATGCGCGTTGTTGCCAAACACGCCCACGCCCACCCATGCATCATCAATTTCACTGACTGAGACCATACCTCGGGCCTGTTCGTGAGAAGGTAGTAGCGCCACACCTCCACGGGAATGCCCGTGTCCTGCGCATCGTTCCCAGACACACCCACACACACACCCAAGCACCTCTGTTTCTCCATTCCTTACACCAAAACCACTGTCAACCCCTCACCTCAGGCCGATTTGTCAGCAGGTAGTAGCGCCACACCTCCACAGGGATCCCCGTGTCTTGAGCATCGTTCCCAAACACGCCCACGCCACGGCTCTTGCTAAACTTGCCCCCCTCGTAGTTGAGGTACTCTGTCACACTGATGGTGCGCATGAGTGTCCATGGCTCTTTTGTCCCGAGCAATGTGCACGGGAAGATGACCTGTGAGTGGATGGCAAGGGAGGGACGGAAAAAGGAGGATGGAAGGGGCAAGAGGGCTCTTGCTGAACTTTCGCCCCTCGTAGTTGAGGTACTCTGTGACGCTGATGTTGCGCATGAGCGTCCAGGGCTCTTTTGTTCCGAGAAGGGTAAGGGGAAGATGACCTGAGGGGGAATGGAAGGGATGGAAGGAAAGAGAGGGAAGGAGAGGGAGGGATGGGAGGGATGGGAGGGAAAAGAAAGCTCTTGCTGAGCTTGCCCCCCCTCGTAGTTGAGGTACTCTGTGACGCTGATGGTGCGCATGAGCCGTCCAGGGCTCCTTCGTTCCCAGCAGGGTACAGGGGAAGATGACCTGAGCGTGTGATGGCAAGGAGGGAGGGAAAGGGAGAGAAGGAAATGAAGGGGTGGGAGAGGTGGGAACCCAGCAGGGTGCAGGGGAAGATGACCTGAGCGTGTGGAGGGAAGGAGGGAGGGAAAGGGAGAGAAGGAAATGAAGGGGTGGGAGAGGTGGGAGGGAAAAAAACGGCTATTCCTGAACTTTCCCCCCTCGTAGTTGAGGTACTCTGTGACGCTGATGGTGCGCATGAGCGTCCATGGCTGTTTGGTTCCGAGCAGCGTGCAGGAGAAAGTTGTTTTGAGATGCCTCAAAACACGGAAAGTTGACCCAAACGGGACGGAAATGAAGGGAAGGAAAGGGAGGATGGGAGGGGCAAGAAAGGTTGTTATGGTGTGGAGGGGTACTCACAATGTGTGAAAGCACCTAGCCTAGACTCCCCATGGATGTATTTGACTCATCTTTACAACACACTGTGTGAAAGGGCTCGTTGCCCTTGCCCGTGAACTGCACCAGCTCCACCTCCTGGGGGTTCTTCCACCACCATGTGTGTACACGTGTGTGAAGATTTATTTTGAGACGTCTCAAAATAGTTCTTCCACCACCATGTGTGTACACTGTACAGACACACCCACTTGGTGCCATGTGGAAGGGTGCTGCATACTGTATGCGTGGAATCCCCCTACTCACTGGATGAAAGGGCACGTTGTCCTTGCCCATGAACTGCACCAGCTCCACCTCCTCAAAGTTCTTCCACCACCGTGTGCATGCATAGACACGCGCAGACATGGTGCCCAAAGCACGTGTTCATGTGCACCTGTTGAGAGTTCTCACCGTGTGAAAGGGCACGTTGTCCTTGCCCATGAACTGCACCAGCTCCACCTCCTCAGGGTTCTTCCACCACCGCTCCCACTGCTCCGTGTAGTTGGCTGTTATGCTGATGTAGCCTATGGGGGCGTCGAACCACACGTAGAACACCTGGTGGGGAGGGAGAGGAGAGCGGAACAGAAGGAGAAATGGGTTTAAGCCCGCAGGGCGGGGGGGATGAGGAGGAGGGGGTTGTGAGGAGGCGGGGGTTGTGAGGAGGCGGGGGGTTGACATGGGGTTGTTCCAGGGGGAGTCGAGTTTTGAGTCGACTCAAAACTTGACTCATTACACGAGGGGGTTGTGAGGAGGAGGGGGTTGTGAGGAGGAGGTGGTTGTGAGGAGGAGGGGGTTGTGAGGAGGAGGGGGTTGTGAGGAGGAGGGGGTTGTGAGGAGGAGGGGGTTGTGAGGAGGAGGGGGTTGTGAGGAGGAGGTGGTTGTGAGGAGGAGGGGGTTGTGAGGAGGCGGGGGTTGTGAGGAGGAGGGGGGTTGACATGGGGGTGTGCCAGGGGGAAACACTTCTGAGAATTCCCAAAAGGAGGTGGGATGAGGTGGGGGTGTGTAAAGGGGAAAGAAAACACTGCGCCGTGTAGTTGGCCGTTACGCTGATACACCTATGGATGGGGGTGTCAAACCCGTGACTCACTTTGTCCTTGTATTTGTCAAGAGGCACGGGCACGCCCCACTTCAAATCCCCCGTGATACACCTGGGCTTTAACCCGTCTCTGAACGCGTCGGTCGTCTGGATCGAGTTGGCACTCCTACCCAACTCGCTTTCCCCCTTACCCACTTTCCCCCCTTCCCCACCCACACCCACACACTAGCACACACGCTCACACACATAATCACTCACCTTATCCTTGTATTTATCAAGAGGAACAGGCACGCCCCACTTCAGGTCTCTCGTAATACACCTGGGCTTTAACCCGTCCCTGATCCACGCGTTGGTCGTCTGGATTGAGTTGGCGCTCCACCCGCCCGCTGCTGACGTGTCGCTCACGTACGCCTCCAGCTCAGCTTTGAGCTCGGGCAGATCCAAAAACAGGTGCTCCGTGTTGCGGATCTCCGGGCGGCTGTGGCACATCTGATTTGGTTCAATTCAGGGCAGAGAAGGTGGGGGACAAAAAGGGTGGGGGAAGGGGGGATGCGGCAGCAAGGGAGGTGCAACTGAGATTGAGCAATGGCCAGAAATGCAAGAGATTCAAATGACATGCAATGTGGTACCAAGTGGTGCATTACAATGGCATCGCATGCAGAAAGATCACACGCGGCTCACATGGCATCTTGGGTTGATGAGGTCAGCAGCGTTGAGCAGCTTCCCACAGCGGTCGCACTGGTCCCCTCTGGCGTCCTCGTAGGCACACCCCGGCGTGGGGCACGTGCCCTCCACAAATCGATCTGCCAGGAAGCGAGAGCACACCACACAGTAGGGCTGGGGGAGGGGGGAGGGAGCACAACACACACACATACACACACACAGAGGGGAGCAAGGGAGGAAGAGAGGGTCGCACTGGTCCCCTCTGGCGTCCTCGTATGCACACCCGGGCGTGAGGCACGTGCCCTCCACAAACCGATCTGCCAGGAAGCAAGAGCACACCACACAGTAGGGCTGGGGGAGGAGGGTGTGGGGGGTAAGGGATTGGGGGGGATTGATTGGGGGGGATTGATTGGGGAGGATTGATTGGGGAGGATTGATTGGGGAGGATTGATTGGGGAGGACTGATTGGGGAGGATTGATTGGGGAGGATTGATTGGGGAGGATTGATTGGGGAGGATTGATTGGGGAGGATTGATTGGGGAGGATTGATTGGGGAGGATTGATTGGGGAGGAGAAGAAGAGTAGAGATTGGGAGGGCTGGGAGGAGGGCGGGAGAAAGTTGGGAAGGAGGAGGGAAAGAGGGAATTGCAGATTGGGGAAAGGAGGAAACATGAGGGCTCCCATCATCTTCAGGCAATAGAGTAGGCTTTATGATTCCTGATATTCTTCCTGCCGATCTCATCATAGTCTCACCTGGCTGATCGTATCTTCCTTCAGCCTCTTCTGCTCGTGAATCGATTTAAAGATCGACTGGCAGATCTTGGTCTGCTGCGGTGTGGAGGTCCGGCCGAACTTGTCGCAAGAAATCCCGAACCACTCATAGATGCTGCGGTGGATGGCATGGTACTTGTCGCAGATCTGCCTCGGCGTGACCCCCTCCTCCATGGCCTTGGTCTCGGTGGCGGTGCCGTACTCGTCGGTGCCGCACATGAAGATCACATTGTACCCCCGCAGCCGGCAGTACCGCGCAAACACGTCCGCACTCAGCACACCTGGGGGGGGAGGAAAGGGGGCGGAGCAGGGGCGGAGAAGGGGCGGAGCAGGGGGGGAGCAGGGGCGGAGCAGCGGAGGAGCAGGGGGGAAAGAGCGCGGTCTTGAATGCAGCAGGTGTGGGCGCGTGTGGGAGTGACGCCCTCCTCCATGGCCCTGGTCTCGGTGGCGGTGCCGTACTCGTCGGTGCCGCACATGAAGATCACGTTGTACCCCCGCAGCCGGCAGTACCGCGCAAACACGTCCGCACTCAGCACACCTGGGGCGGGGGAGGAGGGTGTTGGCAGGGGGTTGGGAGGGGAGGGGGAGGGGGGCAGGAGAGCAGGGTGGTGGGTGGTGTGGCCGTGCAAGTTGCTACAGCAGTACCGCGCAAACGAGTCAGCGCTCGGCACACCTGGGGGGGATTTGGGGAGCGTAGGGTGGGGGGGGTGCATACAATGCATCACAATGCATGCACATACCCGCATGCTTGAAGATCTTCAAGTAGAGAATCAGTAGGTTCATTACCAACCAACCACACTCCCATGGCTCCTACGAGGTGACTTTTGAGTCGACTCAAAAGTCACCTCACTCCCATGGCTCCTACTCTCAAAAGGTCTTCTACTCACATCCGATGACGTTCCCAAGATGTGTCGAAAGTGTATTTTCGAGACGTCTTAAAAATACAATTTCTACGCGTGGCGAATCAATAAGTTCATTACCAACCACACTCCTGAGGCTTCCACTCTCAAAAGGTCTTCTACTCACATCAAATGACATTCCCAAGATGCAGGATGTTGTTCAGGTACGGCAGCGCACTCGTCACCATCACATTCCGCTTTTGAGTCGACTCAAAATTCAGCTCCATTCTACCATTCTCAAGAGGCTTTCTACTCACATCCGATGATGTTCCCAAGGTGCGGGACGTTGTTCACGTACGGCAGCGCACTTGTCACCATCACATTCCGCTTGCCCGGCTCGGGCAGCTTCACAACACTTCTTTCAGCCTGCCCAGGCGCAGCGGCCATCTGAGAAGCGAACTGGGCAGCAGCAGACTGAAGAAAAGCTTCGGACGGAGCAGAGGCGAGAGCAGCAGCTACAGCCGCCTTGAAGCGAGCATCGCTCTCCCATGACCTTGATGCATGGGGAAGCAAAGAGGACCATTCGAGGGAAATGGAGGGGGGACGACATATGAGCAGCAGCTGAATGAACGAAGGCGTCTGGGGGAGCAGAGGCGAGAGCAGTATCTACATACAGCCGCCTTGAAGCGAGCATCGCTCTCCCATGACCTTGATCAGGGGAAGACAAATGGGAATAGAAGAATGAAGGGGAAGGAAACGGGACAGGGAAAGGACAGGGACAAGAGGCGAAATAAGAAGCTTTTGAGAGGTCCGAAATGCGAAATGAGGAGCATAGCTGAGCCGAAAGCAGCAGCTGGGGCAGTCAGCAAACGAGGGGCACGCCCTTATGACCTTTGAGGTGCTAGTTAAAAAGCCCCCCCCATACCTGAACCACTTTTGAGGCGCCTCAAAGTAAACGAGGTGTTAGTTAAAAAGTCCCTCAAAAGGCCCCCCATACCTGAACCACTTGGCCAAAGGCGACTCAGAGTCAGATGAAAGCTTGCCGCCCGGGCCAAACAACAGCAGCAGATCACTCCACACGGCAAGGTCCACGAGAGACAAATCTATGCCGCCCAGAAGGTGCTTGGGGTTGGCGGCAAGCGCCTGATAGAGGCGGTCGGAAGCGTCTTTTGTGAGCTCTTGGATGTGGCCTGCTGCTGCTGCAAGCACCTGCGGCTGCAGTACAGTCACCTCCCAATACAGCCACTCCTCCGCACCTGCACATGTGCAAAATAAGCAATCCAGAAGTTGAAATTACTTTAAGTCAGCTCAAACCGATACAATCACCTCTCAATACAGCCATACCTCAGCATCTGCGCAATGCACAAGCAGCCAAGCTCACATGGTGAGAACCAATTGAACGTGACAATAGCAGGTGTCACGCGAACCAGTGATGGGAGGAAAGGGGATTGCCACATTCGAAGCGGCTGGAAAAGCTAAAAACTCCCCGTTAACCCCTGAACCCTGAATGATTCATTGAGAACAAACGCGCGGCACGCGCCCCCCCCCCCCCGCGCACGACACATCCGCACACACGCGCGCGGGCGCATGACACCCATCCCCCCCCCACGCGAGCACGTCACAGGCACACACGCACGGGGGGGGAGCGCGCGCGTGCAAACGCGCTGCAGAGCGTGGTTTTTATGGAAGCTTCCGTGTTCCAGATGCGGCGATCTCAGCACCAGAAACGGAATAAAAAGATGTATCATGTATGGCAAGTGGGTTCGTGATTCGCTGAAGAACTAGAGGGAGGGAAGGCATGCGAAGGCTGGGTGGGCATGCAAAGGCTGAATGAAACGGACCACGGGAGAGCGGGGAAATGCACGATAAACGCGCCGAGGCGACGGATCAAAATGGGCGACAAATGCGACGAGGCGGCGGACCAGAAAAAAGCGACGGATGCGACGAGGCGACGGACCAAATGACCGACGGATGCGATGAGGGAACGGATCCAACTTTGCGACGAGGGAGGTGTTGTTGCAGGAAAAGGGAAACGAGATGAACGGGAAACGGAGGAGGCTCGAGGGAGGAGATTCGTACTAATGGCCTCCACGGAGCTGTCGGCTGGGAGTAGCGACGCCCCTGCTCCGCTCTCCGCGGCAATGAATCGCGCGGCAGCGACAGCATCGTACAGTCGCACGCCGTTCGGTCCCGTCAAGCACGGCGCGGCGCCGAAAACTGGATCATCGCGCGGCCCCGTAGATTGGCGGCCCGAAGCGGCGGCGGGAGGGGAAGGGGTGACGATCGGGACTACGATACCCGAGATCGACGCGGCGAGGGCCGGGAGAACGGCTCGGTAATCCCCCGGTTCCGCCGTTAACGTAAGATTCGGCATGGTCGCCAATCGCTAGATTTGACTAGTGATCTGTATATACTGCGTTGGAGATCGGATAAAGCTGCCGCTTCTGGAAGTTGAAAATAGGTATAGCAGAGTTACCCTGTGATCAATATGATGGTGAAGAATGGTACCGCGGGAATTGCAAGCTGGGAAATGGATGTGCAGAGTTTTCGAGGTACGGGAGGAAACGAGTGTTGTGGGAGTTCTGTAGACTTCAATGTAATTCGCCACAACCAGCCCCGTTGTGATCCCCGCAGTCTAGCTTCCACTAGCACTAGATTTGATCTTCTGCATGCACATATCTTTTGTCATCAAAAATATTGGGTAAATGTGGTTTCCTCATTCAAAAAACAACATAAATCTTGATTTTCATGCATCTTCATTGAAAAATCTTGCGTCCTTTAAGTAAATCCTCTCAAGTTGGTAGTTGTTTGAATCATAACACAAGACATCCAAAGATGATGCTTGTAACGGTTTAGTCCTAGAATGTTGTAACCAGTCAAAGTCGCAGCGATCGCCAAAAGGCAGTCTCACGAGAACTGCTTCAGGCGAACATCCCAAGCGCCTCCAGCCTCATGAGGCAACTTGGCTAAGTGCAACAAGGGCAGGTACTGCACACTTAGACAGACTGGGACGTTTCTCTGGCAAGAACCAGTTCTTGTCCGAATCCACTTAGCGTAACCACCTCGTAGGCCCAGATCCTGTGTGAGCTGCGAGACGCGCCAGCAATTCCCACACTGCCATGCAGCCCACACTCGCCGAGCCGCAAAAAAGCATTTACCAACCAAGCCCATCCAACGGTCAGATCTCTCGGATGCATTTGAACGAACGGCCAACAAGCTCCACGGTCCCACAGAACCCACCTTCTCGCGGCTCGATGTGATGCGCTTCTCCCACATGTTTACCTCAATCTCCATTTCCCAACTCCGTTCGCCTCGCATTCGAATCCACCTTCACCTCGAAACCCAAATATTCCTAGCCTGCAATCGCCACTACATCAAATTCGAGAAAGTAGCATTTCAGTCCTCATCACCCTCCTAGTATCGGTTCCCAACTCCAACGCAACAGAGTTAGTGAGAAGTGTTTCAGGGAGTTGAAGCGACTTGCAAAAACCTTCGCTGGGGCATCCGTCCTCATAACAGAATCACACCGCGCAACTAGACCATAGTATTTTTCAAGGGAAGTCTCATTAAGTCTCATGGCTCGTTTCACCTTAGTCGCCGCGTCAGCGCTTTCGGCGCTTCTCTGCATGGCAATCTGCGCAGTCGCGCAGCTGCGACCCGGCTGCATCCAGAAGTACACGTGTCCGCAGCGCACGACGAAGATGTGCGGCGTGTGGAAGACATGCAACGTGGTGAGCAACTGGGACGAGGTCGACAGCTACGTCGTCTGCGACAACTGCGCGTACCTGCCCAAGTTCGACGCGCCAGAGGCCACGTGCAACTTCAAGTTTGGCCGCTGCATGGCGAACACAATCGTACGTGATGCTGATCGGATGATTTTGTTTTTTTTCTTTTGCAAATAAAAACCTTTTTTTGCGGCGTGAAGTGGTTTCTCACTTTGTTTCTCACGGCAGTCGTATCAATTGCATGCCTTTATCTTACTTCTCGTGCTGTTATATGATCGCTCATGCGTGTTCCTCCACTCTTCGCTTGCTCGTTCTCCGGCGTTTTACTCCCCAGGACGGCAAGGCCTGCAAGAAGGGCGACAAATGCGGCAATCCGGACTTCAAGTGCATGCCCATCAACGGCTACTCAGGCGCTGCCATCCCGCACCGCTGTTGCCGAACCAAGTGCCCTACCGGTCTCTGCGGCACGGGAAACAAAACTCTCAGTTACCGGAACCTTTGCGGCTACACGATGAACTGCCCCACTGACTGCCCCGTGGAGGCTGCAAAGAAGAGAAAGTAAATCCGGTTGTCGTCATCCATTATGATGCTGGAACGTCATATCTCGCAATAGTTGTACCCCCAGGCTACATTCCGTATCCACCATGGGTGGATGCAAATAAAGCCGTCTTTATCTAAGCTGTCCGGTCTTTTTGAGACATCGTGGCGGCGATATCATGTGTTGCGGGTGTCCTCATTGTATGTTTATTAAGAACTTCGCCAAATATTCATGGTTTTTCATTCAGAATCCAAGGGGCACCTTGTCTGTTATTATATTTGCTCACCATGTGCCCAAAATGCCAAGCAGTGTTTATGAAATTGGTCATTACTTCCTATTTTCTAATAACGTATCTGTCACCGCACAAGTAAAACCTCTACTACCTACGTGCACTCTACGGTAGTTGTCACTCTAAGCAGTGATAACAAACCTGCGACGGCACTGTTAGTAATTCTCAGGCCCTCAGAAGTCAGAGAATTTTCTCTGATTTGCCTAGAAAATTCTGATATTTCAGCCTTCTTTTTTAGTGAACTCTGAAAGTTCAGAGAATTTTTTGCTGTGAACTCTTAATATATTTTTTTTAATGCAGGCCCTGTTTGATTTTTCGGCCTTTTTCTAGGGGGGTATAGCGTGAGTGCAAGGGGTATAGCGCGAGTGCAAGGGGTATAGCGTGAGTGCAAGGGGTATAGCGTGAGTGAAAGGGGTACTTTGATCCATGAGCGTTTTTTGCGGGTACCTACTCTGGTATTCCTGTGCGAAATCTGCACCGACAGCCGCGATGAGCGCTGCTACAGTTCTGTCCTGTCAGTCAAGCTGAAACAGTGACAGCAGTGTTGCGGAGCGCAATCACCACCTCGTTTTCAGCTGATCCATCAGCGTCACTACTGATGTCCTACTGATATAAACTCTGGATCCTGAAGTGGCCCAGCTAGTTAGCTAGTTCACTTCCGAAAGGTGCGGTCCCGGGATCAGATCCCCCCTGAGGCGTATACAGCCAGTCCCCACTAAAAGGGACTACACAAGTGTTCATCTCGGAGTGGATAGAACAACATTGTTACCCAGTGAGGCGTGTAAACACATGGGGAGGCGGGTTACTGTCAAACTATATATATGCTAGTTTTGAGTTGGCTATAGTGGGGTAGCCCATATAGGGTACAACCCAATGTTAGGATTATACTTGTACCCACAATTCTTTCAATGCAATCATTCTAGCTTCTCATTCCACCATGGTTTCGAAGCAGTAAGTCCGTAGGACCTTTTATTTTATTTTTCGGGCCCACCATTCCGACTGCAGTTACCGCGTTACCCCACTGCCCTGCCCCGCGTCGCGCTGCCCCGCGCACGCCACATGCGCGCTGCCCCTGCTGGCCACGCGCCACTGCTGCAGCGCGCGGTTTCTCTAGCGCCGCACCCCACCCCGCGCGCCGCGCTTTGCGCCCCGTGCGCTGCCTCGTCAGCCGCTTGTAGCCCCACGCGCCGCCGGCCCCTGCCGCGGCTGCCTGCTACACCCCGCGCGCCACCTGTCGCGCTGCCCCGCAGCCCCGTGCGCCGCCCGCGCTGCTGCCGCGGCCGCCCGCTACGCCCTGCGCGCAGCCCGCACTGCTGCCCTGCCGGCCACCTGCAGCCCCGCGCGCCGCCCCTCACAGCCGCGGCCGCCCGCTACGCCCTGCGCGCAGCCTGCCTTACTGCCCTGCCGGCCGCCTGCAGCCCCGCGCGCCGCCTACCACAGTCGCGGCCGCCCGCTACGCCCAGCGCGCCACATGCTGTGCTGCCACGCCGCCCGCCTGCTGCCCTGCGCGCCGCCTGCCACTGCTTCGGCCGCCCGCTAAGCCCGCGCGCCGCCTCTGCGCTTGCCCCTATTGCGGCCGCCCGCTTCAGCCCAGCGTGCCGCCCCTACTTTTGCTGCTTGCCTACAATCACTCTACCCTCCCAATCCCGCGCAAGCAGCTATGGCCACCCTCCGCGTTCTATCTTCGATACTGAGGGCCGCGCGATTCAGTTTAAGACATGGCTCGATGATCTGCAACTGTTCCTAATGAGCAATAGCAAGGACAATGTCTCTCTCTTTGACCACACGTCTGGTGCCTCAGTCGCTCCTGCTGCCACAGCTGAGCTTAGCGCCCGTTCCCAGTGGTAGACTCATGACGCTGCTGCTCGCCTAGCCATTCGCAACCACCTGCCGTTAGCCAAACTCAAGCACTTTGGCGAACACAAAACCGCTAAGGCCCTGTACGACGCTGTAGTTGCTCGATACTCCTCCCCTGCCACTGCTGCACTTAGCCGCCTCATGCTGCCCTACCTGTTTCCTAAGCTGTCCACCTTTGCCACGGTTGCCGATCGTATCACCCACCTTCGCACTAGTGACACTCGCCTTCGCGCCGCCCTCCCCAAAGAGTTCTTAGCTAAGAACCTGCCTCCGATGTACCGGACCTTCCACTTCATAGTGACCCGTCTCCCTGAATCTCATCGCTCGGTCAGGGACCACTTTCACGCTCGTTGTCCCACCGATCTTACTGTCGACCTCCTAGAGGAGCAGCTTCTAGCCGCCGAGACTAGCATAGTCACTGTAGGTGCTGCTCGTGGCGCTCCTTGCACCCCCATCTTTGAGGGGTGCTCTCCCTCTCCCCTCGCCCCCTCCTACGCTACCGCCGTTGCTGTTGAGTTCCTCGGTGCTGAGTCAGTTGGTGCTGCTTCTACTCGTTGTGGGAGGCGCCGCAGCGGCAAGAGCAGGGAGCCAAGAGTAGCGAAGGTGGCACCGAGGGGGGGGGGGGGGGTGGTAGTGGAGGAGGTGGAGGAGGAGGAGGAGGAGGAGGTGGTGGAGGGAGTGGTGGCGGGAGTGGTGGCGGGAGTGGTGGCGTCGGTGGTGGCGGTGGGAGTGGCGGTGGAGGCGGTGGCGGCGGAGGGGGTGGCGGAGGGGGTGGCGGCGGCGGTGGCGGCGGTGGGAGTGGCGGTGGAGGCGGTGGCGACGGAGGGGGTGGCGGTGGTGGTGGCGGCGGCAGTGGCGGTCGGGGCATCGGTGGCGGCGGTGGTGGCGGTCGAGGCGGAGGCACTGGCGCTGGCCAGAGACAGCAACAGTAGCAGCGTCCTCGTGAGGCTCTTACGCCCCAGCAGCTTTGTGAGTGGCTGGCTCATCGTGGGACGTCTGGCGGTACTGGTCGCTGCCCATATGTCATTCGCACAGGTGACCGCGCTGGTCAGACATGCGAGGAGTTCCACACCCAGCACCGCTGCTTCTCCCGCCTTGACGACGCCTGGCGTGAGGAGATGGGCGAGGAAGTCGAGCGCCCTCGCTGGCATGAGCTGCTTAGGGCTGGTGTAGACATCTTTGCTCTTGAATATGATGCTACCCTTGCTGCCACGTATGCATTGACTGTTAGTGCCAAGGGAGACTGTTACTTGTGTGTGTCGCCTGACCCTAGTAAAGAGGCTGCCTTCGGTGCGAGTGAGTCTGCTCTCTCAGGTACTGCGCCTGCTGAGGCCTTGCACACCTTCACGCTTGACTCATGTGCTTCCCGCTATTTCTTTCGTGACAGTACTGCACTCACACCACTTACTGCACCTCTTGCAGTCTCTCTGGTTGACCCCTTAGGGGGCCCAATTCTTGCACGGTCCACCACTGTGCTCCCGTGCCCGGCGGTTCCGTCTGGCTCACTGTCAGGCCTCCACCTCCCCTCATTCTCTACGAACTTGGTGAGCAACGCAGTTCTCCAGGACCACTGGGTTGACACCTTTACCCCTTGAGGACAGCGTGTGGCAATCCGTACGTGCTCCCGGACAGGCCGCTACCTGGCCACGTTTACCCGTTGGCCAGGGTCGAGTCTTTACACACTGACGATTGCGCCGCCTCAGGTGGCTGCTACTGTTCAGGTGTCTGCGTCAGGTCAGGTAGCCTCCCCTTGTGAGTGTCGCTCCCTGTCGCACCAGACTCTTCTCTGGCACCACCGTCTGGGTCACCCCTCCTTGCCACGTCAACGTGGCATCCACCGTCACCTTCTTGTGTCTGGTCTTCCCAGGTCTCTCCCTCCCCTCCCTGCCTCGCCTGTGCCGCCTTGCTTCCTTGTGTCAAGGGGCGCCAGCGCTCCGCTCCTTACTCCTCCTCGTTTCCCCCGACAGAGGCTCCCCTGCAGACCCTCCACATGGATGTGTGGGGCCCAGCCCGTGTTCGTGGCCTGGGCGGCGAGCAGCACTTTCTGCTGGTTGTCGACGACTATTAGCGGTACACCACGGTCTTCCCCTTGCGCACTAAGCATGAGGTCGCTGCTGTCTTGATCCCTTGGATCCGAGCAGTTCGTCTGGCTAATGACACGCCTGGCTGGCAGTTACCACCCCACCTCGCGCAGTGTTCTGTTCTCTGAGGACGTAACATTTGACGAGACGGTTCTTTTCTACCATCTCTTCCCCTACCGCACTGCCCCTCTCCCTCCCCCGCCGCTTTTTCTCGCTCCATGTCCCCCTCCAGTAAACCCCCTCCCCCTTGAAGGTCCTGCTCCTTTAGGTGTGTCTCATGTAGACCCACTCCCCTTGCTGAGCCTGTAGAGGTCACTAGCGACTCAGGTGTTGCTGCGGGTGGTGCTGCTTGGGGTGCTTTGTTTGGGGGTGCTGAGCCTGTGTGTTAGGTGCTGGGGGGTGCAGAGCCTGGGGGTGCTGAGCCTGCGAGTGCGGGGCTTGGGGGTGCTGAGCCTACGAGTGCGGAGCCTAGGGGTGCTGAGCCATAGGGTGCCGAATCTGGGGGTGCTGAGTCTGCTGGCGTTTCTCCGGGTCTCTTTTCACGACAGGGGCCTCTCTCACCACAGCACCTACGAGAGTGGCTTGCATGGCGTGCCCGCCTGAGGAGTCGTTCTACTAGAGCTGGAGGTCTTGCCGTTGGAGGTACTGCTGCTCGAGGTGCTGCGGTTGGAGCTGCTGGAGCTGCTCGTCATGGAGACGCTGAGAGTGCTGGTGTTTTTGGTTCTGGAGGTGCTCCTCCTGGAGGTACTGGAGCTGCCAAGACTGGTGGTGATGCTGTAGCTGGAGGTCCCGACTCT